TTTTTTTTTTTTTCCTTTCAACTCATTCATTATCCGTTCTGATCCCACCCCGTCCACTCTCTCTCTTCTCTCCTTTCATCTTTCATCCATTTCCGTTTATTCTTCGAACAAAACTCCACTGAAGCTGTACGGGTCGTGGCGGAAGCGCGAGGGGTATGCGGGGGGCAGCAGCAGTTCCGTCTCGACGGCCTCCGCGTACGGCGGCGGCGGCGGCATTTCGCCCTCCTCCACCCGCGCGGCCTGCGGCTCGGCGTCGCCGTGCGAGAAGGCGCAGTTCTCGCCGAAGGGGCAGGGGAGGCCCATCGCGTAGTTGCGGCACGTGCGGGTGCGGAACTTGCTGTAGTCAACACCCCTGCGGCCGTAGCGGGCGACGTTGTTGAAGCTCACGCTGTTCTCGGAGCGGGCATCAGAGTACGTTGGTGTTTGTGGGTGCATGGCCGGATGTTTATATATATTTTTTTTTTCACTTTCTTGTTCCTTTTTTTCCGTTCGGTCTGATTGGATGCTGGATTAAAAAAATTGAAAAAAAAAAAGTTGCGCTTGTGCTTGCTCAATGGAGTAGATGTTCTTTCGTTAAGGGTGTTCATCAGATAGATAGAGAAAGAAAGAAAGAAAGAAAGAAAGAAAGAAAAAGAAGAAAGGTCGAGATAAAAGAGAAACCAAGGATTAATATACAAAAAAGACACCCAAATACAAAAAAGAAAAAAAAAAATGAACAAACTCTACATTGGGATCATTTGAGAAGCGAAAAAGAAGGCAAGAAAAAAAAAACGGAAAATATGAAGTACAACTTTGCGAAAAAAAAAAAACAAAAAACAAATGAAGCTACAACATGTATAAAAGAAAACAATTCCATATCGATCACAATACAGAGTTTTCATTTCACTTTTCCCACTTTTTCCTTCCCAACCTCTCTCGTTGAAGATAAAATTGCTTCCACACGATGATGGTTCTCATATATTCACTATCACACACAGACACCAAAGAAGAAGAAAAAAAAAAGAGAATGTAAGCGTGAAGAAGTGTCACACTGGAGGTGGACCACTATCATTAGTAACGTCTTGGGTAGAGGGATCTGAAAGGGATATAAACAGCTGCTGCTGCCGTTGCTGAGGTCCACCCTCGATATATCCACCAAAGTGAATATTAGAAAGAAACAGATCATGACTCTGATCCTTATACTTTGACCACACCTTACTCTCCGCAAGAATACTCTTCAACCTCGGACCGTACAAAGGATCCTCAACACTATTCATTGCTTTCAATACTTTAATAATTAACGCACGTACAGCAGCAGGAGGTTGATCTCCACATGTCTGTGGTGTAACTCCTGCTTCCAACAACTCTAATAAGTGTTGTGGAAGTTGATTTTGCAAAGCAAGACGAATCATATTAGCTCGTTCAGAGGAACGTGAGAGTAAACGCTCCATTGTATCCATTAATAAAGGGAGTTGTGGCAATCCTGCCTTCATATAGGCAAGCAGAGAAGCCACAGGATCAAAACCTGCAAGACTCTCTACACATATACGAGAGGCACACTCCTCATGTACCCATTTAAGGGCATTTTCAGCTACTACCTTTTGATTTGATTCTAACAACTCAAAAAGTTTTTGAGCATAGCCAAGTGAAACGAGATGATCTGTAAGAACCGGAGATGTTTGTAGAAGGCGTAGTCCTGCATCTGCAATAAGAACAATCATTTCTGTATTTATATTCTCCTCTGGTTTCCCACACTCGGTTACAAATTTCTCCAAAAGTGATAAAAGAAATTCTTTGGGTTTACGTACATTCCACCCTGGTTGACTTAGGTAAAGTTTTAAATATACACCTCCTAATTGCAATTCTTCACCTGATTCTGCTAAAATATTCTCTGGGATTTTCCAGTAAGCTGTTGGATCATGTTGTAGCAATTCAACAATATCGGATTCACAGGCTATACATAATTCTACAAAACGTTGTTTACGTTCTTTATTCCACACAAGTTCAGGAGTTTCTTGCCAAGTATTTAAAAGTTGACAGGCATTCACAGGACTCTCTTTCATCATTTCTAAAAATACAGAAGGAATAAGTTTAGAAGTACGTAAGAATAGTTTAGGACCACATAATTTATCTGAAAAGGCTTTCGCTAAACACGTACAAACATCTTCTTTACACTCCTGCAATAACGAAGTACCAAGAATACGTAATAATACCGCATACAGTCCACGATCTAATGCCTGTTCTACCACACCACGATTGGAAAGGGCTACTCGTAAAAATGCCAAACAATTTGATTCCACAACTTCACCACAACGATGAATAGCAAGAATAACTTCTGTTACAGCCATATTACATTTACCAATAGCTTCTAAACAATTTAAATGATGAGAAACTTTTTCAAGAAGCTCAGAAGTTTTCAAAACAAGTGTATTATCATTGTAGGAAAATAATTTTAATAGTAAATCTACACTTTGCATTATAGTAGTGGTAACATCACTATTTGGGTATGCAATAAGAATATTTTTCATCGCCTCTACGACTAAAAAGACTCCAGTAGAACTATCATTATTTAATTTATATTTTAGAAATTTTATCATGGCTGTACAAAAGGCAGCAGGATCTTCAATAGGGAAAGTTGGCTGTTCATTATATAAGCGAACAAAAATACCTCCAACTATAAGTTCTTCCTTATGAGCAGAATAACTAAAACTGTTATCTGTATAAACTGGTAAATTTTCACTAAACATACCTGAATCACGACATTTTTCAGAGTTTATCGTAAGCATTTCTTGTAATTCACGACGGCAATTATTATTCCATAACATATATGGTGTATTATGATTACTATTGATTAGTTTTAATATTTCTTCTTCATTATGAGGAAGAAGTCTCATTTTTTGAACAATATATGGAGTTAAAAGTTTTTGTAACATATGAATCATTTCCGTATTTGGTTTAGTCTTTGGATAATCATTACTTGGTTGAATTCCTACTAAAGCATAAATAGCTTGAAGAGCATATACAGCTGCTCTATTGGCGAATAATTGTTTATGATGTTCTTCCTGCATTTCTACTCCACTTTCATTTAATGTATAATCATATCGAAAGAGGAATAACATTAAATGCCAAAGAGCTCCTTCTTTTAAAAGACATTCTTGTAAAGTTTCATCCACACAGAAAGATTGACATGCTTGAATACAAGCACGTGATAAAGCTACAGAATTTTCATAAGCAATTCCTTTAGCGACAAGATGAGAAATAATAGGATTATTAACAATATGATGTCTACAATCTGAAAATTCAGCAGCTACACGAAATGTATGTATACAATGTTTTGCAATTTTTACTTGATTCAAGTCATCTGTAGAATTAGGAGTAATACCTTCAAAACAACGTTGCAACACATTTGATAAAAGTTCAATACCACCTTCTTCTTGTAATTCATCCGCGTTAAGAGGAACATTTTGTACAGTAAAGTAACAGAGTTCTGTTGCTGGTTCCATAAGCACAACATCTTTTCGTAACATTTCTGAATCTTCATATTCTCCTCTAATAAGTTTTAACAATAATCCATATCCAGCATACTTGTATTGACTCATAATAGTACCGAATCGTCTAAATAAAATAGATTGGGTACGAAGTAAAAGGGCAATATTAGATGGATTAGGTTCATCAGAGTCTACTTTATCGGAAACTAAGAATTCATAAGCTATTTGAATACGTTCAAATTTTTCTCGTCCATCCGGATTTTTATCTGGATGATATAAGGCGGCCAGTTTAAAATAAGCTTTACGAACAATTTGTGGGGTTAAATGACTCTCTTGAGAATTAATTTCCAACTCTTGCATACAACCTTCACGAGTGAGTGGACTTGGTTGTTTATCTAATTCTCTTCTCCACGCCGCGAGGACTTCACACAAGAGAGCCACAGGATCCGAAACCGGCCAATTTGGATAATGTAATTCATCACAGAAATGACGTAAATAATATTGTGAACAAAATAATTCATTTCGAAGAGGTTCATACATCACACCAACAATTGGACAATATTGATAAATAGCACGATTATTACAGAGAAGTCGTGGGGTAAAATCAGAAATATGTCTAGAAATAGTTTCCACAAGAGAACGACGCATTTCTCTTCCCCAAATAGCCTCTGGGGTTTCATATTCACCAAGAAGAACATCTGCAAAAGACTCGGGACCATGATTGGCCAAATAACAAACAAGAGCAGGTGGAAGTAATGTACTGAGAAAACTATTTCGTATAATATCATTTTCATGTTGGAATTGAAATGCTTGACGAGAATGAGATAAATAGAGTAATCTACACATTGGAAGTACATCTGATCCAGTATACATGAGTGAAAAAAAGAATACACCCGTTAGGAAAAAACGTGATATGAGTGGGTTATCTTCCATAATAACATAAAGAAGTGAATGAACACGACTACAAATAGATGGATCAAATGTTAATAATAACTGTACAATATGTGGAAGTACTTGAGGACTAGAAAGAAAACGTTTCACTCGTGGAAGAGGTTGCATAATAGCCCCATTTACATCTTTGCTTGGATAATATGTACAAACTAATAAAAATATATCAAGAATAATACAAGATACCTCAGAAAATGTTAAAAGTTTATTACTTTTATTTGTAACAATACCCCAACGTAACTGAGGAACATCTTTAAATTCTTTCCATCCATTTAGTCCTTGTGCCCATACTTTTGTCTCATCATTTATTTCCTTTTCCACATATAATTCTTTTAAACGAGTATATGAGACTGGATCTTGTTTAATACCATTTTTAGTATAATACCATTCTTTTTCCTGATCTTGTAGTTCTACAGATAATCCAGAAGATTCAATAGCATTAGTTGGGTTATGAAGTTGAGGTCTATCAAGATGTAAATGTGCGATAGTAACGAGATCCACAAGTTGTTTAAGACCATCACAATCTAAAAATAATTTTACATTATGACGATCACGTAAAATTTCTTTAATAAATTTAAGTAAACGATCTCGAAAAATTGGATCCAATGTTGCTTCTAACATTTTCATTATATACTCTAAATCATTAAATTGCCCAATATCATTTGCATAATATTCATACAAAATAGTCATTCCATGTAAACAATCCAATTTAGTTTTATGCTCTTGTGTAAGAAGAAAACGATGGTACATATCATTAAAAAATTCTCGTGGTCGAGCAATAACTGGATTTTTTACTTCAAAAAGAAGACGTGGGTAATGTCGTCCAATTTTAAGTTCATCACTAAGACTTGGATACCGTACTTCAAATTCACGGTAATTCCATGCAATAGGAACTTCAGTACGAATACCTCTTCCCAATTTAAGTGCCTGCATTTCTCCTTCTAATGCCCCTCGCAATTCTTCTCGTGTTGTATGATTCCAAATTAAATCTGGTCGCATATGATCTTGTTTCAATTGATAAAATAACATTGGCCAATTTAACGTTGGTCGTACTCGTACTTCTCTAGGACGAACATAGTCTTTCTCTTCATGCGCAAAAGATGGATTATAATTCGTACCTTTTGGTAAAGTTTTACTTGGATGAAAACATTTTTTAAACCAACCAATTTTAGATTCCCAAAAAGTATTCGTCATAGCTACAACGGATCGTTTACGTTCTTTTTCCATTTCATCTTCTGGTGGTTCATCCTTTGATTGAAGGAAAAGAAGTAATGCTGGTGGAAATATACTACGCATTAAATCTTGCATATTAGTATTTTGATAGGTCCAATAAGCGATAAGTTGACGAGCTATATCACGTAATTCACGATTATTACTAAATGTAGCCAAATAAAGTTGACCAAGAATTCCACCTTCTGTTAATGATGCGTCTTGCATAGCTGTAAATTGTTCCTTCGTTCCTTCTTCCATAATTACACGAATAATTTGACCTGCACTATAACTGATAGCGTTACAATTATGCTGCATAAGAGTAAAAAGATCTTTCCCATTTATATCAACCATATTTTTCATTACATAAGTAAAAACTTCAGCTTCTGTTGTTTCACAGTAAGGTGGACAAAGTGCATAGACAAAAAAATCTAATAATGATAGAACAACAAGGGAAGCACTTTCTGATATTGTATAATTATGTAACATCATCATTAATTCCTTCACTAATCTTTCATGTTTAAGAATACGATTTTTATTCATTTTCTCATGTATTAATTCATAATGATTATGATGTGGTGTCATAAGAACACATAAAAGATCAATAACTGCATGAGAAACTGCAAGATTATTTACCTTAAGTGCATTCATAGAAACATATTCAATAGTTTTAATAAGTGAAGGTACAATTGCAGCTGAACTAAATCCAATACGAGTAACACATAAACGTCTAAGGGCATAAAATTGTTGTACAATAACTATTGGATCATCACTAATAGGGAAATTATTTAATAAAGCCATTAAAGCTTCAAATATCATCTTTTCCCGATTTTCAGCGAATAATCCATCACGATTTTCTGTAAAACGAAGACCACTAAATTCAATATTAGCATTAAAAAATTCTACTACTTCCAAATAAGTCATAGCCACATGACCACCTCCTTTAAGAGGATCTATAAGACAATTAAGTAGTGTACTTTCAATTTCTTCTGAGAGAAGTACACGAAAAGGTGCGGCACGTTTCCCACGATCTAGATTTTTTACAACTACTGAAACATTAAGGTTTTGTACTGCACGACAACAGTGAAGAAGATGTGCTAAGAGAGCATCCCGTACAGGGGAAGTATAAACTTTGGTAATAGATGGTTCCTTATATTGAATCATAAACCGCTGTTCATCCTCTTCAGAGCGCACCAACGCGTATATATCTGCAAAGAAGGAAAGACTTGTCGTATTATATGTGGCCGGATCCATTTCCAGCAGACACTCTTCTGTAGTGGCAAGCAGCCGTGGAAGTCGCTGCTGGTGTTTTCGCGTGCATTTCTCTGCGGGGAACTCTGCGAGGGGCGCCAGTGCGTGGCGGGGGACGCCGAGGCGGTCGGCGTCGAACTGCCGGGCGGCGAGCGGGCGGGCGGCGGCGGGCGGCGGGAGGCCAACGAAGCGGCGGGCGGCATCGGCGATGGCCTTCGCGACCCGCTGGGGGTCGTCCGTCTCGTAGAGGTGGAGCCGCAGCTGCGGGCCGTGGAGGAGGACGAGGCTGCGGGGGCGGTCGGCCACGGCGCTGAGGCCCTTGAGGTTCATGAAGAGATATTCCCCCACCACCCGCCCGCCGGCGTCCAGCTGCTCCACCGCGACGGTCGTGATGCGGAGGTGGCAGTCGCGGTACTCCTCATCACTGCAGTACTTGCGGGCCGCGTAGACATGATCAGAGGCATGGGAGGGGTACTGAGGGTCAAATAAGGCGCGGTTGCGCTGCACATCCGTGAGTAACTCCGCACGTTCCATTGCAGTATTACAGTGAAAGTGTAACGTCTCACTTTTCGCTATTTTGCCAGTGATAAGAGAAAAATCAGTTAAACTATTTGCGGTTGGTACAACATCTACAAGGTGATGTTGATAATCCCATCGATTAGTAACATAAAATATACTTTGAGGATTAATTGTTGCGATATGCCTATTTCCGATACAAAAGATACGCATGTACTTTCCTTTCCATGAATTCTTGATAACGGTGTGACGAGAAGTATATTCCTCAAATGAACCACCACGTGCTCCAGTTTCACGGTTAACAATCCGTGGCACACCCGTTTCTTTAGTATTCATTCTGTTGCTATGTTTTAACTAAGAAGGGCAAATATATATATATATATATATATATATATATATATATGCCTGTACGTCTGAGTTTAAATAATAACGCGAGAGAAAAGAAAAAAGAAAAAATAAATTACAATTAGGGAAATATTCTCTATAAAAATATTTTATAGTATATATTTACGTTACAGTTAATTATATAGGTAATTAAAGTAACAAAATACAACAGGAAAATTCTGTTTTGGCGCACATGTCCATTTAAAGTAAAAGTAAGAAGGAATTTCCAGGTAAAAATACGTACCCACACACACACACACACCACTCTTACACCTTTTACCCGTTTTCGTTTTTATTTTTCCTTTTTTTTTTTGTCTTTTTATTCCCATCAACGCTACTGGTTATTACGCGCCCTATACGCTCTTGTTACTCCCGAAGCGATTAATGCCGCTACAGCTGCCGCCGCTGAAACAGTGCCTAAAGTAAAAACACCTAATGTGAACCTTGAAATTTGGTGTCCTGTAGTTTTTGCTGATGTTATCGCCATGAAACGTTCCCATCGGCTATGTAAAACTCGTCCTACAACGCTGTATTTTGATGTTGAAGTGATGACAACAGTAACTGTATCTCCCATTCTGGCATCCTTAGGATCAACAAGTACTTGAACATAATTTTTTGTGTGTCCAACAAGGTGATGCTTATCGTGAGCAGTTTCTAACAACGTAACAGTATGCACCTCACCAACCATGTTATCGTACGTACGGTACGAATTAAAAAACTCAGTCAGTTCAGATGTACGTTGTTTTGCTATTTCTTTTGATATCTGTTTCATTGCCGCTGCAGGAGTATTACGGCGAGGATAAAAACGAGTAATATTCAGAATAGGAAAAAGAATCTTTTCACAGAGTTCCATCGTCTCGCGCCACTCCTTTTCTCCCTCACCAGGGAATGCACAGATGATATCAGTAGCGATAGACACATTTGGTACAATACGTCGGATATGTTCTACACATTCATAAAATTCCTCAACACTGTATTCTCTCTGCATTGCATCTAAAATATGATTAGATCCAGACTGTACAGGAATATGTACAAACTCGTACACATTTGGATGTTTAAGAAGTGCCGCAAAATCATCTACATGACGAAGTAAATAGGGTGGGTTACTCATCCCTACACGCATCATAACACTTGTCCCTTCTAATTCTTTAACCGCTGCACGAAGGAGTGAAACAATATTTGTACCAATATCAACACCATAAGCACCAACATCTTCTGATGTTAATCTTATCTCTCGTACTCCTTCTCGTACTACATCTCTTATACGAGAGATAATACTTGAAATAGGCCAACTTCTCAAATCTCCACGAGCTTGTTTTGTTTTACAATACGTACAATGATTTAAACATCCCACATTGATGGGAATAATTTCAATGTACTTATTTCGACGAACCTTTGGAAGATCTAATGAAGGAAGTTCTTCAGATCCCTGAGTATGCTGAGTTTGTTGCTGTTCACCGGCGCCAATAAGACGAACACAATTTCCCTGTAATGCTTCGTACACAACGTGAGCGACACGATCAATACTCCGAACTCCAATCACACTAACATCGTCCCACTGTGTGTTCTTTGGATCTGCCTGCGGAACACATCCGGCAACGATGAGGGGTTTCCCAGTGGCACGTACCCGGTTCATCATTGTAATGAAGTGTTCCTCGCTTGGGCTCTTCACAGTGCAGGAGTTAAGAAGATACACATCGGCGTGGTCAAAGACGTCTGTGATGCGGTAGCCGGCCTGCGTGAGAAGACCCGCCATGTACTCCCCATCACTCACGTTGTGGCCGCAGCCGAAGGTGTGCACGAACACCGTCGCGTTGCCGGGAATGCCGTCGCCGTAGTCGTCCCGCAGGGCCGTTGGCTCCCGCCGCCGCCGGGCATTCACAACCGCCGACCGGCCGGCAGCCGCAGCCGCAGTGCCCACGCCGCCGCTGCCGTTGACAAAGGCATCCTCCATGTCCACACCCTCCATCTCAGCAACACAGACAAAGTGAGTGAGTGACTGACTGAGAGTGTAAATAAATAAATAAAAAAATAAAAAGGGAAAGACGAACGGAGAAGCAAAACCAAACACCGTACAGATGTTAAAAATGGGAAAAAGAAGAAAAGAAAAACATTTCAAGAGAGTAAGCAAAACAAAAGAAGAAGAAAAAAAAAAAACAATTTGAGAAAGTGGGAAAAAAAACACACACACAGAGAGAAATAATATATAAAAATGAAAGAAACAACTACAAAAAAAAGTCAAGATAACGCCTTTACAGTGACAAAATGCATCTATACAGAAACACAGTCAAAGTAATACATACCATTTCTTTCTTTTTAATTCGTAAAATAAATAATAATAATAAAAAAAACATTTCCAGATTCCTTGCTTCTTAAAGTTCAGATAATAACGAGAAGAAAACAAGAAAAATAAATAGGGGCTAAAGAAGCTACAGAGATTGAGCTACAAGCTTCCCTAACCCCATATTCACAATAATTACTCCATCGATTTATCCAAGGGAAAGTACAATCTTAGAATGAAACGTAGCATAATAAAGCAAACGTCTATTACCAAAAGCAAAATCAAAAAGACATCAGATCCAAGCATGAAAAGTCGAAAACGTCGTATTTTAATATTTGCTAATTGTTGAAGTAAAGCATCACTTTTGGCACAATACCAAGATAAAAGTTGCTCAGATGAATTTTGTCTCTCTGAAAGTTCATAATATTCATCTAACCAGGGCATTTCCCAAAGGAATTCAGGTGTATCACGTAGTGCGGTAATAGCTACAAGTGATAAATGTAATTCTCCTTCAAGATGTGCTATTTGACGTCGTGTAGAAAAATAATCAAGAAGTCCTCTAATATCAGAAGGTATTGATAAGACATGTTTTTGTAATTTCTGTGTCATACTATCAAAAAAATCAACAACCGCAGTACGACCGAGTGAATAAGATACTGTTAACATAACTTGAGTCCGAAGTGGAGCCACATCTGGAATAAGATAATGATCAAAACAGAGATGAGTAGCAAACCTATCAAGAGCATCTTTTTTTGTGGCAGCTGAACTAGAATCGTATTGTTCATCCAATTCATAAGAACACCAAAAAGGAAATAATTCATCTATACTTTTTTGAGAATAACGTTCTTTAATTGCCTCACTAACATAAGAACAGCCAGATGATAAAAAATCATCTTCCACTATCCAATGATCTCGACGGTTTAATCCCCACCATACCACAACTCCGTATGGAAATAAAAATAAATCAAAAACATGATGTGATGAAACATGCAATACATTAAAAATAATAGAAGCTTCATATCCACGACGTTTGTAAATAGCAGCAAGAGCATCTAAATCAAAGGCATTCGCTACATAACTATAACTAATACTTCCAATACGACTAGAGATAGCATGATAACCACGCGGACCTCTAATAGTACGACGTCCTTTAGTCCTCTGTAAAGGGCGTCGTAGTGTTACACGATCATCTACAGGTGATACTGCAAATATTGATTGATAACCTTGAAGGTAATCAAAAACAGTTCCATTAGTTGCCGCAAATTGTTCATCCCATTGCAAGGCTTCACGAATTGACTGAAGTGTTACACTACCAGTAGGACTATTAATAATTACGTTAATAATATGATTACGTGGATCTTCAGGTGTTTCATATTTCATTCGTTCCACTATATTATTATTATTATTATTATTATTATTATTATTATTATTATTATTATTATTATTATTATTATTATTATTATTATTTTCTAATGCACTATCACCTATTCGAAGATTATTTGAATCAGAAACTACATCACTCAAATCCTTCATTTCTACAGCTACTGGATCTTCATGTAAGACGTTAGTACGATTATCAGTTAAAAGCAATAATGGTGATATAACCTTATTATCTCTTTGTATGATAGTATTAGATTCTTCCATTACAGTCTCTGTTTGTGGATCTAATAAACATCCAGGTAAACGATTAGTAGAACTTCCCCAATCCCTTAAAGAGTCACTGGGAACACTTGAAATTTCTGATTGCATTACCTGCGCGACGACGTCTCCATAGTAAGTCTGATAGCTTTGATATGGACTACGCGGTTTTGACAATACTGATCCCTCGTGGGAAGTGTTAGCAGATACTGAACTGCTTGATCGAGACTGACTTCGCGATTGAAATGGTGAATCAACCTTCTCACGTCCCTCATGTTTGTGTTTGTGCTTATGTATTTCCTGTTGTTGTTGTTGTTCTTGTTCTTGCTGAGTATACTTATCTCTCTCTTCTTTTTCTTCCATTTCTTCCTTTTCGATTCCACTTCTCGTTTGTTGTTCTGTGCTCAGCACCCGTGAGCGCCACCGCCTCGGGGTTTTTGATTGTGCGTAGTCGGAGCGGTCGCTGTGCAAACTATACGCGGAGCCGGAGCTCTCATCATCGTCCCCGTGCCGTCCACTCATCACACCAGAGCAGCAGCTGAAAAACTAAAATCTCCCCCATATATATATATATATATATATATATATATATATATATCACCATCATACCCAAGAAAAATGAAGAAAGAAGGAAAGAAAGTTTTTTTTTTTTTTTTCTTTTTGGAGAACTGTTTACAGAGAATGACAGTTGAAGAGAATAAGAACAGTGCACAACAACTGAAATGAGAGGTACAATAAATAAAAAATAAATATAGTGGCTGCATCACGGTCCGACCAATAGACCATACTCTGTAAAAAAATAAAATAAGTGGTTCCTACAACCACACAGAGAGAGAAAAGATAGAGTGATAAAAAAAAAAATAGAACTAAACAAAAATCAAAGAAGAAGAGAAGAAAAACAGTATTCTCCTATAAACTACAACACATCCACAATAATAAATACAGAGGGTTCACATCGCCACAATTCTTTCCCCTCTTCTTCTCTACCTACTCTACAGCTAACACAGCAACAATAATATCCAAACATTACTCAACATCACTAAACCCATATACTCCATAAATGAATTTATGAAGTATATATATATATATATTCAACCCAAAAAACAAATACCCTTACCCACCCTCTTTCCCAGACTCCCATAAAGGCTAACTCTTCACTTGCTACAAGATGAAGTTAAAAAAAAAAAATAATACTCCAAGAAGAAGAACAAGAAAATAAAAAAAAAAGAGAAGAACATACTTCTTATTTTTTTACTTGTTTCTCTCCTTTACTAACTCTCACAAATATTTTACTATATATATATATATATATATATATATATATATATATCTTTCTTTTCTCATTCTAGTACCCAAAACCCACACGAGTTCCATGGTGAGGCGCTACTATGGGCTGTAAAAGAGAAAATACACCAAAGCTAACCGCCATCATTGGTATTTCTTTTCGCAAGGTAGGAAGAAGACCCCGACAAATAGCAGAATCATGAATAACAGTTTGATGATAAGCATGAGCAGAGAATGGGTAACAAAGCGTAGATGCGACACCAGCAGCAACACCACCTACCACAGTGTTTCCAATAGCTACAGCAGCATAGTTCTCAGGGTTAAAGATATCATTACCATTTTTATCCTTTTCTATATTAATTGGGATTATGCGATTACGCTCACAGAAACGTCGTAACCCCTCAAAAACGGTCATAAGTGTTCCAAAGTAAATAGCGTTAGCCAAAAGAGGAGGTGTGGTGTAGAAAAACTGTAACACCGTCTTGCTCTTGAATCGTTGACATGTTTTCAAGAAACTTTCACCCGTGCGAAGAGAATCATCACGTACACGGTTTACAGGATTACATATGAGTCGCATCATAAATCCAGCGAATGCTCCGAGTATAAAAGTTGTAAATGCCTTAAATGCAGGATCATGTTCAGTACCAGGGAGTAGTTGGGAGGCCAAAGGGACATAAAACCACATAAGGAGACCAAACTGCGGCATACGTCGGTAACATGCCTGCGCCGGACCTTTTACACCTCCTTTATCAAATGGAATTGCGGCTGCTCGTCCAGCTAATCCTGCTAAACCACCACTGAGGAAAACATAAGGATCGGTAAAAATAATGGCACTCCGTCGCTGGATCTTGTGCAGTCGGTCAAAAGCCCATGTGACCCCACTACAGAAAACAGCGAAGCACATAGTTTCAAATAAATAACTATGTTTCTATTTCGATACACGACCAAAACCTCTTTAAAGAAACTCTAGAGTATTGATAATTCGTGTCTTCTCTTACTTCTTTTTTTTTTTTCTTTCTTTATGATTAGAGTGTCCCAAAAATGATCTCCTACCACCCTCACCCCCCTTAAATCTCTAACACTCCAAATATTACAGTCACTCTAGAAAAGTAAAATAGAAAAATGAAATAAATAAATAGCAACAACAACAATAAATTAAAAAAAAAATACAAATATTGGGGCAATATTTTTATTTAGCACATTATACTCCACCTAAAAATCACTACAACAAGAAAAGTTTCCAAAAACAATTCACAGGGTGCATCACACGCCCAATGTAATGTTAGTCATCGTGAAGCGAAACAAAGTAACAAAAAGAAAGAAGACTTCACGAAATTCATCAACTACTTTATTCGCTTTGCAATCCTTTGTTCTTCTTCTTCTTTTGCGATTCCTCTTGCTCCATATGTTTTATCCTTTTCTCTTATTGTTTTTTTTTTTTTAATTCCTTTCTTTTTCTCACTTCATATCTTCTCTCCCCTACGCACTAACAACAGCAATATGTGACACGAACCAAATACAATCACCAACCCCATCACATACACTTTCAGAAGGAAAAGTGAGAAGAAAAAAAAAAAAAAAAAAGGAAAAGAAAAAGGAGGAGAAAGAAAATTCCATCTTTTTGAAAAAGGAAAATGAGCAGTGAAAAGCAGTAACCTTAATGAGGTTTTTTTCCGGTGAGTCTTTCTATAACTTTGCCCCCTTCCCCTGCCCCTTTCCTCAATGTGAGTTTTTTTTTTTTTTTTTTTTTTTTTTTTGAGAGGTTATTTCCCCTCTCCCATATCATTTTTATACTTTAGTTGACCTGTCCTTCACCATCGTAGCCCTTTGGATGGAGTTTATTGCTGCGTAAGCTCACCTTCAGCTGGTGTCTAAGATACAATCCCTGCTGCTGGTGTGCCATCTGCTTGGCGGCGTTGTTCTGCACGCGCATCACCTCCTGTCGCTCGCGCCTGGCGACGGCGAGAGCCTCCTGCTCGGCGGCGAGAATCGCGCGTCTCTCCGTGGCGGCGGCCTCCGCCTCGCGCCTGCGGGGGAGCGGCACGTCGGCCTCGCGCCGGAGGATCGCCCGGCGGGCGCCGCGGGTGTGGAGCTCGACGGTGGCTGGACTGCCGGCCGCGGCGGCCCCGCTGTCGAGGCGGATCGCGTAGAAGGCATCGTACTCGGGGCCGAGCACCAGCCGCCCGTGATTCTTCTCCTGCATGTGCGCCCGCAGCGCCTCCAGCGAGTCGAAGGAGCGCGTCTTCTCGCCGCAGACAAGACAGATCAGACCGTTCGTCTTGCGGGCAAGGTACGACAGGAGTCCACTCACATCACTGCAGTGGTGGCGGAGGGGGATGGTGAACTCGTGAGCCGCACTCATGTGTCGCAGGTTTTCCTCAATATCGGTAGACAGGAGACCACAGAAAAGGCAGCGCTCTTCAGTTACATCCTCTTCACGATCTTCTAATCCCACCTTGTCAGTTTTCTTAGCAGTTGGATAAGACGCTGGCACCTTGAGACGCTTGGCATTGTGACGACGGTGCAGTCCAATAGCTGCACTGCCCAATGATGTGGAAGTGAGTGCAGTGGCTGCATCTGAGTCGCGTGCGAGAATACGCTGCTCCTTCTTCATGAGATGAGCTGTTGAGCGAACATGGGCTTGTAAAGTCTGTACAGAATGAAACGTCTTTTTACACAATTTACAGGCAAATGATGGACGTCCATTTTCATCTGTATCATCATACTCAGCCCCACGTAGGTGTTTGAACTCTTGCGCGGTTAGTGGTCGTTGTCCTTCTACACGCAGACGCACATTGTGTAAATGATATTCGGACTCATAATGTTTGCGCACAGCTTCAGCTGATTCAAATACGGCATTACAAGTCCCACAACGTGGTACAAGTGTTGTCATTTTTCTCTCCCAGAAAAAAAATATAAATATAAATATATACGTACGCTTCTTTACGAAGGAAAGAAAGACTGCTAAACTGGAAATGCAGGGGCCCTGTGGTGACTCTTCTTCTATATTAATCAAGGCAGAACAAAAAAAAAGAAGAAAGAAAGATGAAGTGCGAATAAAACAATAAAAAAAGAATAAACACAAAAACAAATAAGGCAATATACACTAGTCTAAGAGTAAAGATGTTATTTCTTTTTTTTTCTTTGTTTGTTTTGTTTCTCATACTCAACAAGCACTGTGAAGTTAAGACAAAAAAAAGTAATGAGCACAGGTAGAAAAACATAAACATATATAAATTTGTATGTATATATATGTATATATATGTATATATATATATATATATATATAATACTTAAATACATATATTTATATTAAAAAAAAAAAGTAATATAATTAAAAGAAAGAAAAAAACATATCTCATATCTATATATATATATATATATATATATATACGTTTTTTTTTCTTTTAAAGAACACCAAGCGAGGGGCACAAGAATTGATAAACCTAGTTAGCACAGTTCATTCACACCACGCGTAGGTTGTGTGTTAGACATATAGTATGAGGGTTCCTCCGGTACGCATAAAAGCCAGCGATTGAGTCGAGACAAGCAAGATCCAAATCCGTAATGTGGAACACGTCGCATACGATTCCAAATTTCTGATGTACGAAGGGCATCACGCGGATCTGGAATCCAAATTCTTCGAATAACCATCAATCCAAACACCGGTAGAACCAAAACAGCTGCAATACCAAAAGCTGTAAGTAGAGATATTATATTCATAGTTTTTCCCCAAACACCATAATATTGACCACGAGATAGATGAGAGTATAAAGCGGTTATACCTGCATAAACTGGAGGCATTCCAAATATCCATATTGCATTGAGAAATGTTATAGAATGAGACTCCAATATCAACGTTATCATTTGGGATAAAATAAGGGCAGAATAAGCCACTGAAAAAGTTACATCTTTAGATGCAGAAATACCAGAATCTGCAAATGCAAAACTTGAACCAAATATACTCAAAACAAGCCATAGTGTTACCACAGATTGAACAATACCACGACAGATATAAATGATAAAAAATTCAACAATATTCATATCTGTAGCGTGACGTGTCATTTTATATAAAAAGGGATGTCTTTCAAGAACAGTTCGTGGGGCAATACGATCCAAACAGAAAAACAAAGTCTGAGGAAGTGTATAAGCTCCATTCCATAAAGTAAGACTAAAACTGTTCCAAAAGGTTCCACCAGAAACGTATGTTCCAACAACATTAAACGCAAGTTGAATAAAACTTATAAGCATAGACTTATAAAAGCTATACTTTATCACATATGCCGTACGTGTATAGGCCAGTTGTCCATGAACAAAAAGAAGTGCTCGAAGATCTGAAAAACGTGTAATTGAAAAATCTGCCGCACGAGCAGCTTGTTTACCTTCTTTTCCCACAATACCAACACCAACATGAGCTTCTTGCAGCATCGCCACATCATTTCCACCATCACCAACAGCCAAAGTCATAAATCCTTTAGAACGTACAAATTGGGTAACTGCAGCTTTTTGACTGGGTGTTACTCGAGCACAGATAACACTTACACAGGCATCACTTAAAATTGTAAATCGTTCGGCAAGAGAAGGTGTATTAAGAATACGTTCCAGAACTGTACCACCTTCAACCACCAATACAGTAGGAGTATTTCTTTCGCGAGGAGATGTCAAGGTATTATATCCACTCCTTTCTGGTCGAGATTTTGAACCAGTACAATCAATACTTGATAAAGAATCAACATCACAGGTTACCTCAGAATCCATAACATCTGCAGGTGAGAAAGGTCTTCCATCACTTACTTCTTCTCTTCTTATACCTGATCCAGGAGGTAAAGAAAGTTCCATCATATGTTTTTCCCACGCGTTCTCATCATTGTCATTATTATTTTTATTTTTCCCTCCTGAGACAATGCGCAACACACGGTTACTTGGATTATATAAACCACAAGAAAGAGCAATTTGTTCAGCGGTTTGTACCTTATCACCTGTAAGCATCCAAACTTTAATTCCAGCTTGAAGAAAGTCTTGAACAGTTTCTTTAACGGAATCTTGTAATTTATCCTCAATAGCAGTAATACCTGTAATTTGAACTCCAGTTTCCATTTTTGAACGTAATTCTTGTAATTTTTCACGTCTTCCATGTAAAGTAAGTTCCGCAGCTTTTACTTGACTTAGAAAAGATTGAAGTTCTTCTTTTTCAATTTTCTTTTCAGCCACCACCAATGTTCGTAGACCTTGCATTGCATAAGTTTCAAGATGAGAGTTTAAAGTATCTTGCCATGACATCCTTCTTGTTCTTGAACCCATTCCTAATGGTGACGAGGAAGGTTTTGTTCTCATTTCAAGTATTCGATCATCTGCTCCCTTTACAAAATAATAAATAATTCCTGTAGACTTTTCTTCCACAATAACACCCATAGTTTTTAGTTCAGATGAAAAAGGAAATGTGTAGTGATGAATCCATTTCTCTTCTACTCCATTAACATTAAGAACATATTCATGTACGTCACGATGTATAAGTTTTACATGAAGATGTGAAGCCCCACGGCATAAAGCCTCTTCATCAGGGGATGCTGCTTGATATTGTATAGAGTTAGAAGGAACATCTTGCAGAGGATTATTAGATTTGGATACTTCTACAGAATTACATAGAGAAAGAATTCGTCCAAAGTGTAAAACTCGTTCATCTGTTGGAATTTTTACCATTGTTGTACTATTATTTTCTTCTCCTTCTACTTTATTCTGATGTAAAGAAAATCGTTCATCTCCAACACTTACATAAAGAAGTTCCATAACATTTTGTGTCATTGTTCCAGTTTTATCTGAGAGAACATAATCTATTTGGCCAAGATCTTCCAAAATACCAGAATTTTTAACTCGACATCCTTCACTTTCGGGTCCTCTATGTTTCATCGTCTCATCCCACTCAACAGTCATGGCCATATAATATTTACTCATATCCACCACAAATTTAAAAGATACAGGAATCATTACAGTGGTCAATAGGAAAAAACGAAGTGGGTATATAATAAAGGGTACAGAAGCTTCATTACGTGGTACTTGTAAATACCAATAATGGTTTTCCACATCTCTGTTTAAAAGATATCCGGTTATACCAAAGGCAAAAGCATTTAATATTTGACAACAAAAAACAAAAATTGCATATTTTGAAACATCTTGATCAATTTTTGCCCATTTTACAGGTGCAGGTCGTTTATTCATACCACATTTAGTCTCATCACCAGTATATACGGCTACACAAATAATAGATTTGGTATTTTTTAATCGACATGACTGTGGAAGAAGATGATGATGTGTAAGAGAAATTTGTGAGGGATGTTCATTTCTTTCAGATTCCGTAGTATAATGAAATTCTGCACGTGCATCAAATGATTCAATCATAGCTGAAGGAGGAGGACAAATAAGTTTCAAACGAGAAAGTTTTTCCATAAGAACTTCACAAGAATCATCTAAATGTATAATATGTGGATCACGATTAACAGCTTCAGCAGCCACTTCAGGATCTCGTTCTTCTTCTGGAGTACGAATATGAGGAAATACAATTTCTTTCGGTTTTAAATCGAGTTCACCATCCAGATTATCTGTCCTTATATAAACAGTTTGAGAACTTGCGGCCACTACAACCACATCACATGGTAATTCTTCATTTTCTTCCAAGAGAATAACATCTCCAACACGTATAGTATAATTACGACGTAATTGCCAAGACATTGTATGTGGATTAAGTACATGGCGTTTTTTATTATTATATAGTGCATCCTGTCGATGACGTTTAATATCATCATAACCCTCCTTTAGTGCAGTTAGACTGAATGCAAATGCAAGTGGTAGTATAGTAGAAAGTGGACTCACAGGCGCAATAACGGAGATAAACTGTAGGCATGCCACCAATAAAAAGTAAAAATTTAATGGACGGCGAAATTGTTCATATAAGTTCAGAAATACAAAATTATAAAGAGTATAACGACTGTTCTTTACAGTGTTATCAGGGTGTGCTGCGGCCACCGTTGGGTCTAGGGGAGTAATTGTTCGCATGCTTGAAACGCACAACTCCCGCTTTCGCTGTTCAGCGTGATCGTGACGCAGTCCAAAAGTGACAAGAACAGTAGATATGAAAGCGAGTACAGAGCGAAGAAAACGTAGACACTTACTAACACAGAAACGAACGTGAACAAGACGAATGCCCTGATGTTGTTTCCTGTTTGTAAAAGACTTATCTTCTGTTTCTTCACTGCTGCCGAACACAGACACCACCGCTTCCCCGAAGCGGTTAGAAGCAAAAGACGCCACCGTAAAGCCAAGGGTTTTTTTAGAGTTCTCCTTCACAGGTAAGAAAAAAAAAAGAAAAGAAAAGAAAACATAGATAGATAGATATAGATATATAAACTGAAATAGAGGATACAGAAATAATAAATAATAGTAACAAAAATAATAACAATAATAAAAAAGGAAATCAGGATAAAATTTCTTGTAGGGGTAGAGAGAGAGAGAGAGACAAACAACCATATGTATACACACATAGTAAGCTCTTCTTTCACATAAATGGTACCCCTCAATCCAACAAAAAAGAAAGAAAGAAAATAAACAAAAACGTCAGTTTTAGACTCTCTTCGTTCGTCATTCCCACTTCTCTCTTCTCTCTCTCTTTCACAAACGTATACACACAGAAAAAAAAAACCTCCACTTTTTCTTTTCCTTTTTTTTTTTTGTTGTATCACCTTTTCATTCTCTCAGCGTTTTCCCATGGCACGCTTCACCTTAAGTGGATCTTTCATAAACTCACGCTCCATATTTTCACGGTGTGCACGCTCCATCTTTCGCTGTTTCTTTCGCAACTGCGAGCTAACAAGAGCACCCCATTCCCCATCTGTTCGAGAGGGCGACACTGGTGGTTCTGATGGTGTAGACAATGGCCCCTGGACAATTTGTGGCTGACTCTCCGGACGCTGCTTCTCCTCAAGATGATTCGTGTGTGTTGGTCTCATCCCTGTTGCTGAGCTAGCACGCTGTGAGAGAATACCATCAAATACAGAAGCACTATTTACAATACCATTAAAGCCTCTTGCAATACCAGAGTTTGATGATACCTGAAAGTTTGGAGGAGACGCGTGGGCCTGAAGTACACTCTGAAGAACGGCTCCAACTCCACTACTGCCGTTTTTACCGCCAGGTGCTGTTTCTGAAGAATCAAGAAAGTCAAGAGAAACATGGGCGAATTTATCATCATCATCATCATCAGCGCCATCAGGATGTAATATACGTTTAAGACGAGATCGCAATGCTGCACCACGCCAAATAGGTTGAATAATACGTGCAGCTTTTTCATATCGTCGTCGTTGTTCTTCTGATTTAGATAACTTTAATGATTCAAGTTCTTTTTTAGCACGTTTAACAAGCATCCATCGTTGCATCCAATCGCAAATAACAATTTTTGCTCTTGACTCCCTATAAGCTTGGGCCTTCTCATGATAGAGGGTAGTACGAATAAACATATTAGATTTTACTACATGTGCTGTTTGTAGCGATTTAAGGTCTCGTTGCATTGAAAGTATTGCATCACGACGATTACGTTCTTCCACCTTATCAGAGAGACGATGTACAACTGGGTTTAAACGTTGTTTTGATTTACCAAGTCGTTCTCGAAGTTCATCTTCAATATGTAATGCATCGTGATAATGTCGTCGGCGCATAGTGGTAAGAACATCTTGATCCATTTGAATTCTTGTTAATGCTACATCACTTGATAGTGATGCAAACATATCTGCATAAGCAAAAATTGGACTCTTATAAAGGGAATAAGAGTCAAATTCGCCACACATTTGTCGTATATCATTATGACCAACAAAGGAACCTGACCAAAATCCAATACCATCAATAATATTTTCTTGTTGTTGTTTCCGTAATCTACGAGAAATAAACAAGTATCGAAGTTCTTCTGTCTCATTCCAAAAAGATTTCTCGTGTTCATCTTTTCCAATTTTTTCATTATTAAGCTCAGAAAGATGTGGAAACCATCTAAGAAGTTTTTCTTTCAATTCAAGTGAAATTTGTTTACTACTGTCTTTATCAGAGTTACATAAAAATGGATTTTCAATAACAGAAAGAGATTGAAGTTTTTTACACGCTGTAAGAGGTAAAAGATCTTCTACACGTTGAATTTGATTAAATGCAACGCTTACAGTTGTTAAACGAGGGCAATGTGCCAATCCTGAGAGATCCCGCAATTTATTATTTTCAAGATGCAATGAAGACAATAATGGAAGCCAAAGGAAACTATCACTAGATATTACTTCAATACGATTTTCACTTATAAATAATTGACGCAAAAAACCAAGATATACAGTCTTTGGAAAACTTTGAATTTGATTTCTTGACAGACATAGATTTTGTAATAATACACGAGATGAAAGGGGTTCAAAGTTTGTAATACGATTCTCACTTAAATCAACTGTTTGCAAGAGAGAAAGTTTTTCTAGCTCTGCGAGAGAAGAAACACAGTTACGACTTGCTTCCAGAGACTCTAGATGCATACATGATTCTAAAGGTAAGAGAGATTCAATACGATTTGCATATATCACCAATGATCGAAGATGATATGAGAGAAGTTTTCCTACTGCTTCAATATTTTGTAATGCATTTAATGAGAGATCAAGATGTGTAATACGTGAAGCTCGTGCAATAGCATTTGCGTGTGCCTCTGCCACTCCACGTGCTGCTGCTGCTGCTGACCGCCATGCCACATTACATAGCCCATTATCATTAACTGATAAACGCTGGAGTTCTGTAAAGACACGCAGCAACCCGTCAAGTGGGAGAGTACGAAGGGCGTTACCACCAAAATCAAGTTCCTTCACAAGAGGTGCCACTCGTGTGCCGCCCACTGTAAGGGTTGCGAGACTTGCAAGGTCTAGCTCATTGATTTCTTCTAGCGCGAAAGAAAGTGAATGACAGAGTTGTGCTAACTGTCTCTTATCGGGGTTGACAGCACCACCAAGGGTAATTGGTTGCAATTGCTTGGCTCGCGCCGCGTCCAATCGCACCCCAACTGGGTTCGAAATAGAGTTGGAATTAGAATTAGAATTAAAGTCAGCATTGGAATTAGAAACGGGAATGGGACTGAGGGGCCGCAGTTCTTCGTGGGCGGGTGGAGTTGACGGCCGGACCGCCTCCGTGAGGGCAACTGCCGTCTCTTCGACCGCCCGCCCACCGGCCCGCTGCCACTCGCCGCCCACCCGCCGCTCATCCCGCAGCGCCCGCAGGCGGAGGGCCGCGCCGCTCACCGCAGGGGGAGACGAACACGCCGTCCAGGACTGCCAGGCCGCATTGATCGTTTGAACGGCGAGTTCCTGTGCATTTATAGGACCAATAGGGGAATGAGGGTCTTTTCCCAGCACAGCAGTAATCCATTTCGCTACAGATTTAACAATCAAAGTTATATTCTGCTCTTGTTTATGCTGTAACATCTCTCGTTCTTCTCGTTCCTCTTGTATAATATTTTTTACTAAACTTTCTTCCAGTGTCATAATTTCATACCTAATACGTGCATGCTCCTTTATAAAGCCATCAGAGAGCTTTGCTACGTCATTTAATTTCCGTTGTCTTTCGTTTTCCTTCATCATTATAAAATGCTTCTCCTTTTCTTTATAAAGTTCTTGATAAGTGGTGATTTCTTCTGCAATTATACTCTTATAGGATTCTTCCTCTTCGTCTAGACATTTCTGAATAGAATCTTCAATTCGTTTAGCTTCTTCCTCAAGCCATTGTAATTCAGAGGCTATCTTATCATCCTCTTCCTGCATACGTCTAGCTTCATAGGCTTCACAACGAACCATAAAACACTCACGTTCAACTCTCTTTTGTATCTGTTCCAAACTAGATGACTCATAATTCTCTGTTTTAAGCTCCAGAATTGTAGATTGTTGTTTATCATCTTGTTTTCCATTATTATATGTCTGCATTTCTGATTCTTCATCTTTATTTTCAGCTACCATAGTACGTACTTGAACTTCCACTGGAATAGGTGGTACAATTGCATCTATACGTGTCATGAAGTTATCAAGAACAAGTTGACCAGGAGGTACACGACGAGGGTGGTGGTGACGCTCTTCTCGTGCTTGTTGCACTCTTTCAGATGCTGCAGTTTCCAATTCACTGTCTCTAGTTTCCATAGTTGCAATAGATTCCAGAACTATTTTTTGTTCCTCTTCCCATAAAGGCGGTCGAGAATGAACTACCGTTTCTTGTTCTTTTACTTGCATCTGATTTTCATTATTTGTCACCTCATCAATTTTAGATGTATCAATGATTTCATATATGTTCAATAATACATCACGAGCAGAGACATCAACTTGTTGTTCACACCGAACTACTGCTTCATCCCACTCAGAAAGGATATGTTGTTCTTCCAGTGTAGGTCCAAATTCATACGCAAAGAGAGTAGGCCTTGATTCCCTCTCTTTTTCTGCTTTTCTTAAATTCTCCATCAGCTCAGTATTTATATTAGAAACAGTATCACCATTATCATCATCATCATCATTACCAATATCAGAGATAGGAGTCCAACAACGCTCCTCCTCTGCTACAGCACGTTGCCGTTCTAGTATAGATACTTCACTCATAGGATCTACAAAAGGTCTACGCTTCGTTAACAGGAGATCTGCTTCATGCAGCAACTCATCTAACGTTTCCAGAATCTGTACATCATCCCCGTTCTCTGGAACAGTTTGAGGCACTTGAGAATAATCCACTGATACAGGATCAGTTGTTTCAGAAACTAATAATTCCCGAAGGAGAACAGGGTTAGTAGCGCCATCATTGCCATCTAAAACTTCATTCACACCTTCCCAGAGAGGCGCAGCAGTTATTGAAGAAAGTATATTTGTGTGATGAAGCACAACACACTCAAGCGGCCATGTATGATCTACATCATCAATAGTTTTACCAGTGGGAATTGTTTCATTATCATCATCAACATCGCCATGTGGGGCACCAGTGAGAAATACATCCCTACCACCATGAGCAAAAACGCATGTTGAAGCAGTTGTAAAGTTAAGGAGATCATCATAGGGACCACTAACACCAAACTCAGCGAGGAGTACTGCTGCTGCTTCTTCCTCTGCAGGACTGTAATGTGAAATGGGTAGAAGCTCTGGGAGGTCATCACCCTTTCCCTGCATTCTTCCTCCCTAGATATCACAGATGTACATAGATACAGACACACACAAAAAGAGAAGAAGGAAAAAAAAAAAAAAAAGAAAGTTCCCACAAATTCACAGAGACATGTCACCTAAATAACAAATATATTTGCAAGAAAGCTCAGCATAAAGAACACACACAACAACAACAACAACAACAAAAAAAAAAGAAGACAATATGTCTACCCCTGAGATCTATGCATTCATGCACGTGTGTGCGTGCGTGTGCAGAAAGTAAAAATAATCCAGGAATTCTTTCTACCCATAATATTCAACCTCATACTGGATTACACCAAATTCTGATAAATCATATATAAAAAGTATAACGTAATCAGATATCCCTTTTCTTTCCGTTTTTCTTTTTTGTATGTTTTATTACTGCGATGAAAGAAACGTCAAGAATATTTATTTTTCTCATATCTACCAGTTTTTTTTTTTTTCTTCCAGCACACAGATATACACGTACATGTACACAGACCCAATATTAGTCTGGAGACAGTTGTAGTCTTGACAACGCGATATTTACCCTTCCAAAGCCCATATATCTGCTTTAGAGAGAGAAATGTGTCGAGACAATATATTTACCTCATTCATTAGTGGAGATGGGTACGATGTTGGTAGCGGTGGAAAGATGCGGCGAAAGCCACGAGAGTACTCTAACTCATCCTGTAGGCGAAGATGTACTTCTTCTCTCGCCTCATGATCCTCCACAGGTACTTTCATGTTATTCACATTCTCACTCCAGCGATTTACTACTTTTGTTGCTTCTGCAGTGAGGGGTTCACAAAGACCGGATTGGCGTGCTTTTTCGCCCAATCCGTCAAAACATCCAAATGGACGTTCAAATGGTTCAATCATGGCAAGATTAAGAAGATCTGCCATAATATTAGTCTTAACTCTGTAGTCAAGTGGTGAGGTACTGGCAAGGGAGGGTAATGTATTAACCTCAACAAGCCATGGCTTTAGCTTGGCATCAAGCATCATGTCAAATCCATAAAGTTCGAAAAAACTTCCAGGAAAAGATGCAGTATCCAATGCATTCGTTAAAGGAATTTTTACTGCAAGAAGTGTTTTAATAATCACAGATGCAATATCATCCCAAACTTTTTCAGACATACGTCTATAGGGTGGAGCATTCGCGAGTGTTGTTGATGGAATAATATGTAAGGGAAGTGGGTACATATTATCAATATGTTCCCATAACTCTTTCAAACTCTTTTTAAGCTCTACTTTTTCTTCTTCCTCTTCTTGTTGTTGATGACGTTGTTGTTGTTGTTGTTGTTGTTGTTGTTGCTGCTGCTGTTCCACGGGATTCAAATCAAGTGTAGAATTTACTTCCTCTCGTTCTCGAAATTGCTTACAACGTGCGTTCCACCTTCTTCCAACTGAATAATTTGTAAGATCACGAAAAGGATCAAAATTTAACATTTGACCACTATCATACCCATGAACAGCCAGACGAACTAAACCTTCTTCATGTAAGTAAATAATCAAAGGATCATAGCTTGTTACAGCAACATAGAGACGGAGATCAATTTTACGTCCATCAATAAGTAAAGGATTTTCAATATAATCTTGTACAACATACCTTCGACTACCAACATTAAGTAAAGAATTTTCTCCTAATAGACGATTTTCAATAGTTGTCGCTATAGATTTCCACTTCTCAGAATTTTTAGAACCACCCATACATGTGAATATACCACGACCACAACTACCTCGTGCAGGTTTCCAAATAAACCTCTGCATCGGTGAGGCCTCCGATAAAGCTTTCATAAGTTCTTCTTTCTCATCAGGAAATGCCCATGTACGAGGTATAAAGTTATACAAGGGCTGTTTTTCACCTGCCGCTTTATGTAAATCCGATGCTTTTCGTAATCGTTTCGTCAAACCCCACTTACATCCTACATTAGCATGACTTTGAGGAAAATGATTAAAACGTTGATAAGGAGATACCATACATGGGATATTAAGATGTTGTACACCATTCTCTAACTTTTCTGGTAAGCATGATGGGAAACCTCGTCTCAATGATGACACTCCTAATGGTGATATTGACGATGATAATGAATATGAAGAAATATCTTTGTTGGTATTTTGTGAAATAGAACGTCCCCAAAGGATATTAGAGGGAATATTAAGGTTAACTCCAGTAGGTAAACGCTTAAAACCTGCTTTTAAAAGAGGAAGCCGCAGAGCATAGTATTCACAAGAAGGGGATGTGATAGAAAAAAGTGGAGCGGCTGTTCCAAGAGCAGGTGCTTTAAAGGCGTACTCAGGAGGATCCTCTGCCATTCGTGAGAAGCAAAAACTCGCCTTTCGGCGTCCACTGCGACTAGGTTTCAAGTACACTGGTAACTCTGGTGCCAGTGATGGCTGCTCCTGATCCTGTTCTTGTTGTTGTTGTTTCTGTGAGTGTTCATGTTCAAGTTCAGAGACAAAACCCAGTTTTGGGAGAACATTAAATACCCTTAATCGACAGCTATGCTTCATAGCTTCTTTTCGAAGGCAAACAGGAGAGTAGTAGCCTCTTATTGCCAAAAGAAAATAAAAAATAAATAAGAAGAGAAATACATACTCCACAGTGTAATAAGATAGAGGAAAAAAAAAGATCCTTCACTAATATATACATTTTAAAAATATCTCCGCTTTCAAAAAAAAAAAAAAAAAAAAATCCAGTTTCTTTTCTTTATTTTCTCTTTTCATATCCCTTTTTTCCACCCCACCCTCGAAATTTTTCTTTTGTTTTAGCGAAATAATAAAAAAAGAAAATTAAAAACGAAAAGAAAAAAAGTCCTTTCCTCTAACTGGCATTGGTGTCAAAGTAAGGAGTTTCTTGACGGCACAGCGAATCTCCAGGTGATGTAATATGTACGATTGCGTTTGAAACACAAACTGGTAAATGAAAAAAAAAGAAAGAATAGGTGATATGGTACTCTCTCCGTTTCGTCACATAGTATTTCTGTATCCTAGTTGCGATAAAGAAAGAAAAAACGAGAAAGACGGAATAACAGAAAGAGCCAAAGAAAAATCAGAAAAAAAAAACATTCACAAAAGTATAAAAAAAAAAAAAAAACACACCTATCTATCTACCTCATCCCAGATAAATAAATATATATAAACAAATGTCTATTACTTCTCTTTCAGAAGATTTAACTGAATAATGAAGAGAATGGATTGATTTATTTATTCTTTTTTTGCTTGCTTGTTTTGTCTCCCCTCCAAAACAAGTTATACAACCGGTAAACGACCGCTGTTATCTGGGGTTGTCTCCTCACCCAAATTGTGAGGTGCGAGTACCTTCAGCAGCCATTCCATCTCAAACTCCCGCAACATTCCAAAGTACGGTGAGGCAACATACCAACTTACACTAAGTGGCAGCTCCCCAGCGTACTTCCCATGACGTGTGATAGATTTGGGCATTACACCAAGCAACGCCCGTACCACCTCATAAACAGATCGTATCCGCGGGCGGTTCTTATCGACAAAGTCGTTTGCGACCTGCACGGCTTCGACCTTTGTGAGTCCCCGCGGTGGTGGCCGCCAGTCGGGGGTGTCGCCCCCCTCGAGAGCCGCCCGCACCGCCTCGTGCGTCGGCCGGCGGAGGACCGCGAGGGTCGCTGCGAGTCCCGCCGATTGGGCCTCGTGCCGCCTGCGGTGGGCGTCCCACAGCCGCCGGGCGACCCCCGCCGTGTCGGCGCCGAACCCCCCGCCGGGCACCACGATGTGCCCCGCCGCCAGCGCCCGCAGCGACACCCCGCCGCCCCGCACGAGATCGTCCAGGCGGAACTGAAGGTCCGCCAGCGACATCCCGAGGTCGTTGGCCGCCAGCACGACGTGCTCAATGCGACCACCACCCCGGCAGAGCTCCAGCACACCATCCCGCTCCTCCAACTGGGCAAGAATACTGCTCACACCACATGAGGAGGAATCATTACGTCCACGTTTTCGTTGTTTCATACAAGGATCCGAAATAGCAGTAATATCTGAAGTAGTGTGAATTATACGATATCCAATAGGAATAGTTCCACGTAACTCACGTAATACTTCATTTTCTTGAGTTAAAAGCATAAATAGTACAGTTTCAACCGTTTCTTCACTTAATATAAGTTCTTCTGCTATCTTTGATACAGATACAATAGCAAGTTTTTCCCCTACTTGAGTTATAGGGCTAGCAAGAATAGATTTCACAATAGCTAACATTTCTCCTGGAGAAATAAAAGTAGCTAAAGCACGAGAACGTAAAGTGTAATAATCAAAAGGATTATAAAGAAGACGACAAAAAGATATTTTACCATCACGACCTGCACGACCAGTTTCTTGTACATAACTTTCAAGTGAACTCGGTAAAGATGCATGAATGACAGAACGAATATTAGGTTTATCAATACCCATACCAAATGCTACTGTAGCAATTAACACATCTATATTACCCTGCATAAATTGTTGTTGTGTCCTATTTCGTATATGTCTTTCAATAGCTGCATGATAACTTCTAATAACCATACGATTTCCTTCAACACCTTCAACATCATTATTTTTTCGTATTTGTTCATGTGTATAACTTGTAAAAATAGATGTTGATGTTGATGTTGAAGAAGAAGAAGAATTTTTATCATTCTTTTCTTTTCCACTTTGTGCGGCACCTAATTTTGATGTAAGAAATGTTGCTAATTCTTCCGCATCCACACGAGTTTGTACATACACTAGCATTGGTTTTGGTAACTCTAAAACGGCTTGTAAAAGTTTTTCTTGTAGCATTCGTTGTGTAGGGGGTTTGTTACATCCATCCTCTACAAGTGGAACAGAATCAAGTTTTAAATTTTCACGGTGATAGGGTACCATAACAGTTCGATTAATATGAAAAACTGCTTGTAAATCATTAATAACTGATGGTGCTGCTGTTGCTGTAAGACACAAAAAAGGTGGAATTTTTTTACCTTTAACATTTGCTATACCGTCCGTATTGGTAAGGTTTTCCAGTACACGATGCAAGTACATAAAAGAAGGACGAAAATCATAAGCCCATTGAGAAACACAATGAACTTCATCAACACATATAAATGCAATACGATGTATATATTTTTTAAGCAAATTACGAAGTTCAGTATGACGAACAAGTCTCTCAGGTGAAATAAAGAGTAAGTCAATAGGACATAATGGTGAAGCTAAATCGTCCAAAATGGTTTTCTCACGAGAAGTTGAATTAGCAGAAGAAAGAACAGCTGTTCGAAGACTTCCATTTTTCGTTATTTTTTCAGCTTGATCAGACATAAGTGATAATAATGGTGATACAACAAGAGCAAAACGGGATTCTGGTGGTGAAACTAATTTTGCTTCTGTTATTGTTGATGTTACTTTCATATTATCTGTCTCGAGATTTACTGTGCGTTGTTGACGTTCCCATATTTTTAACTCCGCATCAAAAAGCATCCGATGTACAAGTATTGGAAACTGATAGCAGAGACTTTTACCCCATCCAGTAGGAAATACCGCAAGTGTATTATGTCCTTGTAGGATTGATAATGCCACTTCTTGTTGACCGGGACGGAATTGACCTGATTCAACACCAAAATGATTCTGAAGTAGTATACTACAAATAGGAAGTGTTGACTCAGATGAAACAGAGGATAGAGACTCTACAAAAAGTTTTTCCAGATTAACATGCAGGATACTTTTATTATCATTTGTATCACTTGACACATCTATTGGAACCGTTAATGTAGAAATTTCTGGAAGTGTACCTTGTTTACTATTAGGAATAACATCACTGTTAACGCATCCTGTTTTTTTCTCAGCCATGGATCCAGTATAATTAGCAACATGAGCAAATGTTGAACGCCACTGTGGGGCCAAATATGGGATACATGTGTTTTCTTCTTCTTCTTCGCCATCTCTATCATAATCATCATTATTATTATCATTATGATGATTCTTCTCATTTTCATTACTGTTAATATTACCAATGCTATTATTAATATCACCTTCAAGATCATTATCACCCTGTTTCAACATGAAGGAATCATTGGAGTCCTCATCACTGGCAACATCTTCAGGAAATAGTTCTTCTCCAGCATTGTATGCATCCCCATCCATTGGAATTATCCTAAAAGGATCCAAAGAGTCAGTGTGTGAGAGAAAACAAAAAGAGAGAGAAAGAAAGAAAAGCGAAAGATTTGAGCAATATAAAACCCAGAGATAGTGATTCTTTTCTTTCTTTTTCTTTTCCTCCTTTTTCATTCTTTATCAAGTGGTTTCTTTTTTCTTTTTTTTTCTCCATCACGATCAAATAAGTTCATCTGCAAAACAAACAACATCATCATCTTCCTCTTCTTCTTCCTGATAGGATGAGTTCATACTCTCCTCATCCTCATAATCATCACTATCATCAGGTTCCACATCTGCCAGCATCGCCCGAACCTCCGCACGTCTTCGTTCGAATTGAATATCAAGCATCATCTCTGGATCATGAAATGGAAAGTGATAGCGAAAACCCAAAGCAGTAAGTGTACAGACACCATTATTCATAACACACAATCCCCGTTGTTGACATGATAACAATAATTCTTGCCCATTAAACATCTTGTTACTGTTAAGCAGTCTCACAGCATGACGTATATTAAGAGAAGGAAGTAAATCAGGTAACGCTTCATTCGTCCCTGTTGAATAGTCAAAAAGATCAAGGACAATACGTACTCTTTTATGAAAAGAGACACCAATATCCTTAACATCATTATAGGTTTCTTTCTCATTTTCTTTTTCTACAAATTCAAGTGTATTACCTGTATCAGTACCTGACTCTTGTGCAACAAGCTGCATAACACTATCCCAAAATGATGGAACTTCATCACTAAAACAAACCCTTTCTTCCTTATCTGGAGATTTCAAGTTTCCACTAGAATCCACATTTTCAACAGTATGCATATCATTAGGTACTTTTCGATTTCCTGTTACCACAAATTCTAATAAATCATCATGTGTCATACTTGGAAGATACGGTCGAAGTGCTAACAAGACTTGCATAATCCTTGATGGTGTTAATTGCACACTCTCCAAAAAAGTGGACATGCGTGTCATTGAGGAAACTCGTGCACGATAACGTTGAAGTCGTTCTTGCTGTTCTGCAAGACGTTCAACTTTTGTCCTTAAAGCCATTTCTTTAACTAAGGCGGCGGCCTTTTGTCGTCGTACCTGTTGTTCCTTTCGTTCTTGCTCTCGTTTCCGTTCTTTTTCTCGCTGTCGTTCTTCCCTTATTCTTTGAATACGCATCTGTTCTTCTTCCTTCGCCTCACGTCGTTTCTGAGCCTCTCTTTCAAATTCCTTAGTATTTGCTAAGAGTTCTTCCTTTTCTTGTATAGCTTCCAACACGCGGATCCTTTTTTCAGTTTCTTTCTTTTGCTGCTCTTCCTCCAGTGTTCTAGCTCGACCTTCTTGGGTTTTAAGAAGAGATTCATACAATCGAGAGAGTCCCGTTAATTCTTTACCCAATGAATTATTAGATTTATCCTCTGATAATATCACTTTTTTAAGTGCAGGAATGAGTGTAATTAGACTTGACTCGGTATTTAAGAGTAATTGCACTAATTCCATGAGATAAGCATCATCCATAAGAGCAAGAATAAGTTCAATTGACTCTATAGATGTAAGAGTAAAGATAGGTAAATAGAATTTCTCTACATGAGTGTTAGCTGTGATCCAAGCATCAAGCAACACTTTATAATTACTAGGCGACCAAGAGTTAGCAGCGTAGATATTAGGCATACGTTGTGCAAGAATACCACAAACTTCAAGTCTATGTGTAGCTTGAACAGCCAAAAGTAATGCTGCTTTACCCTTTTGACTTAATATAAATGTAGTAGAATTCATATTTTGCATGTTTAAAATTGATAAAAGAAGATTTAAAAAACATTCCCAGGTACTTGTTTGAGGCATTCTCCGTGTTTTTTCTTCTACAGTAGTAGGGGTAGTAGGAAGAAGTAGAGCAGCCACAGATTCTAATGTATTGCACACTAAACCTGAATTTGATTTTACCATTTCATCTGGAGATAACCATAAGAGAAGAGAAATTGACTCCATCATCATCTTACAATAATCATCTACGGCATTAGTAAAAGAAACTGACAATGATGATGATGATGATGTAGTTGTTGTTACTGGAGGTACCACAGTTTTTTTAGAATTATTCTTTGATCCTTTCTTCTTCTTACTACTTCCTGTTGTAGTGGTGGTGGTGGTGTTACATGGTGGCTTTAACTTTGCATCAAGAGATTCTTTAAGCATTTTCAAAACAGTAGTAATAGTCCCATATGATATAATAGATGATACCTTTGTTAAGGAAGTTATTGTATGTCTTCTTTTAATACCCTCCGCAAGTATACTTAATGGTTTGATAAGACGTTCTTCTTCTATAGTTGGTAATATCCCTGTACTAAATGGCATTATTTCTGCAGCATGTAATACCGCACCAAACAACTTCGCTTCATCTTCTATTGGAAACCATGTCAAATCATGTACTTCACTTACTAGAAGTAATAACCTATAAATAAAAGTGTAAACTACAAGACTTGCAAAGGCCTCATCTTTGCAAACTTTTCGTTCTACACAGTAACGTATAAGATGCACCAACCGTTCGGTGCTCCACTCGGTAACAGAAATTTTCGTTAAAACAGAATCTGTAAGTAGTGACATATTTTCTCCATTCATTTTAACCACATCAACAAAGATATCAAGAAGAGAAACACCTAAACAATCAATAAAAGATGTTGGTCGTAAACTTGGAAGAATATAATCACCATATACATTAAGAACTCGAGTTGCTAATTCAGTATCATTTCTCACCATATACTGAAACTTACTTGAACTATCAAAGAGTGAAATAAAAACTTTTATACAATCCTGAGGAAGAACCACATCAAGAGCTACATTAAGTATTTCTCTAGGTACTTCAATCATTTTATTTGTTCCAATACTATTCATTTCTTGTGGTACATTTTTCTTTTGATTCGCTGATTGTCGTTTCTTTTTGGATGAATTTCCTTTTTCTTGATCTTTTTTTGGTTCTTGTGGGATACCAAGGAATGATCGCATCTTATCCACATCAATAGCACCAGCTACGACAAATAGCCTAAATGTCACAGGTGACTGGGGCAACACCTCCAATGCATCCTTCAATGTAGACTGAAGTGGATATAAAGAGATGGCATGCACATAGACAAGTGCCTCGAGCAGCAGTTCCATAAGCAATTTACACGGTTGCCGATCCACGGCGCCTGTAGTGAGGGCGGCGCAGAGTACTGGGAGTGTGCGGGTTATCTCGTTGTGTGCGGCGAGCATGGCGGTGCGGCCGCTGCTGTTCACTGCGCGCAGGAGCCGGACGAGTTCGAGGGCGATTGTGCGGGCGGCGGGCGGCGACGGGGCGGTGAAGGGCGGAGGGCCGATCGCCGCGTCGAGTTGCCGGACGAGTTCACACGCCTGCGAGACTACCGCCGCCACATCCGACTCCAACTCCATCAGAGAAAAAGATGGAGATGGTGCGGTGATAGCGAAAATAAAATGAGTCTATATGTGTATGTATGTATGTATATATGTGTCTGTCTGTAAAGAGAGAGAGAGAGAGAGAGAAAGTGAAACACATTTTTTTTTTTGTGTTTAAATAAAAAAAGTAGTATAGGAATAATAATAATAATAATAATAATAATAATAATAATAATAATAACAATACGGATTATTTCTCGGAGACTCTGTGAAGAAGGAAAAGAAATAGTTTAAGACACAACCTGGGGGAGTGTAGTCCCTTCCAGGAATTTTAATCATCATCATGAACACTTAAGAAGATCCTTGCAGAAGAAACACATGAGAAAAACAGAAAGACTCACATTCTGGAAGAATAGGATGGTCAATAGAAGGACCAAAAACACGAATTTTTCGAATATTTAGTTTATATTTACTAGCGGTAGTAGAAAGAGCTTTAAAAAGTTCCTCTCGTTTTGCTGGTATAAACTGTCTTTCTGAACTCTCTTGCTGAAGGAGATCAGGAATACCAAGTGGAGCTGATTCTTGAGCTACAAATAGAACAGAACCCTCTCCACAAATTCGCTGCTGCAATAAACTCGAAAACGTCATTTGCCACTGTTTAACTGAGGATAATTTCTCTGGATGGTGTTCCAAGTATATCACATCCATTTTATGAGTACCTAATTCGTCTATTTCCAAAGATGAAGTTTCACATGTGTTAAAAACAGATGAAGAATGATTTGCAATTAAATTTTCTCGAAGACGATCTAACAATCCAACGTCTGTTTCATTTATTACAACATTTTTTGCTGACATCACAGCATTTAATGTCGCCGCACCACTTCGATCATTTACACATAAAACTTGTTTTCCTCCACACACTTCCCGAAGTACATGTCGTGCTCGACGATGGGCAGTATTAAGTAACCAACGATTATTCCTTGTTGCCGGGTATTCATTAGGAGGTACCCATAAATGTCTAGTACCATTTTCCACATATACTTCAGGAAGAGAAATGGTAGGATTCATTATCGTTAACTTTTCATGATCTTTTAAATAAGGTGTATCAAGTAACACCTGTTCAGTCCCATGCTCTTTTAATAATTCCGTAACAGAAGGAACAAGTCTCTCAGCTCCATAAGAAGTCGCTACAATTCGTGCAAAACAAGAAGAAAAAAGATCCACGTAAAGTGAAGGAATCCCATCAGATGCTCCATTCACTACACGATAGGTGTTATTATCTCCCACACTCCGTAAACTAAATACACGCCGACGTCGTTCCCATGCTTCCCGTACTCGTTCGAGAAAAAACTCTTCACTCACAGTTGGCAAATCCGTCACTGTCTTTGGATAAATATGGAATACATCCACACGAAGAAGTGTTGGCTCATAGAAACCTAAAGCTAGCAAACGATTTTGTTCCGAATTACGAACTTCTACAACACTACCGGGAGTGATCTCTCGACGTGCGTATTCTAAGCTGTTTGGGTCAAAAGATGTAAGTGAAATATTACTTTGACGTTGATGAGTGATAATTCGGTGTTGCTGTGGCCTAAGTTTTAATTGTGGGAACTTCTGCGCTGGTTTAAGCCGAGAAGCCAAGAGTGGAGAGAAGACTTTAGACCACATGGAGACACACTTTAATAGTTTCTTAACACTTCTCTTGTTAACTTGGTCTTTTTTCTCTTGTACGTTGAGCTATCACTTCCGTTTTACACCGCCTTTACAGGAGAAAAAAAAAAAACAAAAGAGATAAAAGCAACAACAACGATAACAATAACCATTAAACAGAAATCAAGAGAAGAGTTACAGTTTCTTAATTTATTTGAGTAACAAACAAGTACAAACAAAAACATCATTAACTCCAAGGAATATGTATGTTTTTTCGTTTTTTTTTTTTTTTACTTTCAATCATCCTCTCCTTCACTTGATCCTTTTTATGTGAAAGTATGAGATGAAAAAGTAAAAAAAAAAAAAAAAAAATGGAACAGAAGAAAAACAATTATCATGCCTCCTCTGTAGAGATAAGATAACGGGACTCCCACCAATCCCCATCGCCTACCAAATCAGAATTCCCCAACTGTTTCAGAGTACCACGATAATTAAGTGTGAGTTCCTCTCCCACATTAATATCTCTCGCCGCACGAACAACAACCGCACGTTTTCGCATCGACACACATGCAGCACAGGAGTAATTAAAAGCGCTATGATTTAAAAAATCAACAACAGGTGCAATGACACCAGTAGAACGGTCAGGCACAGTACAATCATTATGAAGTACACTCATACGTAATAAACGTGTTCGTACAACGTATACTGCGGCAAGAAGAACCGCATCTAACTCTGAAGGATGAGAGTCATATAAACGGTATTCTTCTTGCGAGGCATATGAGAGTAAACAATCTCGCAAATTCCAAGCTATTTGTTCAATACAAGAGTGAAGATTTGCTTCATCTTCCATTGTAGATAAATATGGTCCTTCTAATCCATAAGAAAGATGTTCTTTCATTGGAAGTGACTGAACATATAAATCTGCAGAACGAAATTTTAAAGGTCCCATCATGGAAGAACTTTTACTTTTTTCTTCTTTTGAATTCAACTTAATAATTTCCCACCAAAAATAACGTACAGCTACTGAAATAGCTAATGCGGCTTCCACAGGTGAGAGAACAAGATTCAATACATTATTATCTTCTGTAGAAACGGATGCTGTGAGTGAGACCCGCTCCTCTTGTGCATCTGGTGAAAGGCGCAGAAGCCACAAGGGCATCTCTGGAAAAAGTGTGGATCTATTCCAGCGACGCAGTCGACGTGCCTCACGCGAGGCGAATGGGAAATAACAACAATCCAGCGGTACAGACATGAGAAGATCACCGCGATGAAAGCGCCGCTTTGCCATTAAACCACGAATCCCATCATGTGGACGCCGCAGCTGCACAATAGGGGCCGTCCACACCCGCAGGGCACGTGCCAGCGTCATGATGAAATTGTGGATTTGGACGCTTCTCTACAAGTGTGTAGTTGTATCCTTCCCACAAGGAAACGTGGTCCTTGTATGAATAGGCAAGCAGGAAATAATAATAATAATAATATTAATAATAAAAGAAATATGGAATAAGAAAAAGGAGATTAGATTGGTCTTTAGAAACACACATATATATGATAAACAAAATAATAATAATAATAATGATAATAAATATACATATATTCACTTCTTATTTATTCTTGCGGAAACGGGTAACAGAACGCAGTTGATGATAATAAAACAACAGAACTGTAATTGCAAGCTTCCGCTGAAGAATATTTAAACGAGAAGGAGAAAAAGAAAGAGAGATAAATGTGGAGGTGGAGGTGGATGGGTAAATAATAATTGAAAATGGTTTTCTTTCTTCAACCCAAAAATCCAAGCGGCTCTATTAACTCTAACATATATACAACTACTAAGTATTGAGTGTGGTATCACTAATAGAGAAAATGAGAGAAACAAGAAAGGAAACGAACAAATAAAAAAAAAAAGTTGATACAAAATCAATATGAAACACACACACACACACACAGAAAGAAATAGAGAGAAAAATAAAGAAGCAATAAAAAGATATCCTTCGGCTCATCTCACAACGTTTTTTTTTTTGTCGAAAATCAAATAGCACAGACTCACCATTTTAATACAACTACTCGTATATATATATATATATATGTGTATTTTTTTTTTTTTTTTTCAATGGTGGTAGAAAAAAAAACAAAAATGAAAACCAATCTATGGGAGTTTGTTTGATAACAAATATCATTTTTTGTGCTTCCCAAATAGTTTTGAAATAAATGATACTTTTTTCTTCTTTGCCTTTCCAGTTGGACCCTTCTCCATTTTGTTAGATTGAGTACTTTCAGCATGTGAGACTTGTGATGTATTTTGCTGTTTTTTCACCTTGACAGAAGGTTGCGATGAACTGCTTTCATCAGTAGATGTATAAGTAGAGCTAGTAGTACTACTCCTGGAATCTGAATCTCGCTTAGTATCAGAGTAATCTTTTACAGAAGACTGAATAAGACTACCAAGGGAATAACGTACTTCCCCTTCAGACGATACAAAAGAATTTATGCCATTTGGTGCAGGTGATGGATTAACTACAGATTTATTTTCAGAAAAAAATGAGGAAGACGGTAGTTTACCTGGAGGAGAGTTATTATTATTACTATTAATACCATCCCTATGTGATGGTTTCTCCTCTAACCCAGAAATGCTTTGAGGTTTTACATTCCTTTGTGTTCGAACCAACGCATCACCAATAAGTGAAAAAGTCCCAGGGCTCAAATGAGAAGTACCTTCAGTGAGAAAACTACCCAATCCTGCATAGGAAGAATTCTCTCGAGGAGTTGCATATGTATATTGTACAATTGAAGCTTCTTTATTATTTTGAATAGGATCTGTTATGGATTCATCAGCAGCAAAAGCACGAATTTTCCTTAATAACGGTGTTGCATGCTTACTACAAGTTATTGGAGAATTAGAGCGAGGTGGATCAGGTTCATCAGATGATGGAGATTGTGTTTTTTCTAATCGTAGAGGGGGATGAGAAGAGGATTGTGGCGAATGTAAAGAAGCGACACCATAGTAGGGTAAACGTACATCTTGTTTAGGAGAGAAAACATTTAATTCGTTTTCATTTAATAGTTTTAAATTGTTCTTTGGATTTTCCTGTTCCACTTTATTTGATATAGGAGTACGATTAGAATAGAATACAATAGATTTATCGTACCCCCCATCAGGATTATCGACAGAATTAGAAGTACTTACTTTTTCTGTCACCAATGAAGAATCTTTTGTCTCTAATATCTTCAATTGGTCTTTACTTGAAGTTGATATAGTTGTTTGTTTCTCTTCTTTCTTACCTTTTGATTTTTCATGACGAACTAATGCCTCTTCCATATGTGCCAGACGAGATTTAGTTGTTTGTAACTCTTCTTGTAGTGCAAGAATGGATTTATTCTGCTGCTCTTGCTGTGCTGAGGATGATCGTACGGTATCTGGAATAGAAGTAATACTAGGAACCTGAGTCATTGGTAATGCTACTACATTAATGGGAGAAAGAAGAGATGATCGTGCCTCTGAACGTCTGTCCTCACGCTCTGTGTGAAGAGTTGAACGGAGAGCCACTAACTCGGCCCGTAGTGTGGCGAGTTCCTCAGCAACCGTATTATTATCCCAACCCACCGCCTTATGATGATGATTATTACTCATTCTATTATTATTATTATTATTATTATTATTATTATTATTATTATTATTATTGTCATTACTGTTCTTCTGCAGTCTTGCAGAGGCGGCGGTGATGGCGGCGTATTGTTGACCGCGGCGGTGTCGCTTCACCACGTGCGACTCCAGCGACGAGGATGAGGGATACGCATTACCGCAGAGCGAACACGTAAAGGACATCCCTGATTTCTCCATAAAGGAATGTGGAAGAGATTTTCCTTTACGGTCTAATCCATATCGTTGTTTAATGAGAGCCACCACCTCTCGTAATTCCACAAGTTCCTCAAACGCCTCATCTCGTTCCCCTCGCATTTCATCTAATTGTTGTTGCATCTTCACCATATCGGCATGTAATTTTTGCTGACGATAGGAGAGATATTGGATGGTACACTGCATTGTTGTACACACTCGCTCGGTTAACTCATGTGATTGTGTGGATAAGAACCATTCCTCTGGAAGATGTAAGTGATGCCATCCAATCTGTTTAATTGTCGCCTCCTTCACAGCTTTACTTTTACTGTCATCTGCATTGTAAAGTACAGGACCATTCACAACAGCTAAAAATGAGACATCGCATGGTGGTTGATGCAACTCAAATTCAAAAGCCATTCCCCCGCCCCCAATAAAGGCGTTAGATACGAGATTCCTTCCTTCTTTTTATTTTTAAAGGGAATGAAAAGAGGAAAAAAAAAAATAATAATAAAAAGAAAGTCATTTAAATAAAATAAATCAAACAAAGAATGATTAAACAAGTCACACACACAAAAAAAAATATGATTATATTGCAGCTAATTCTATCGAATAGCCTCAAATAATATGCAGACAAAAAGAAAGGGAAAAACAAAAATTAAAATAAAGGAAGGAAACTGAGACGAATAGCATTCTACGCCAGAATTCTCATTCCAAAAAGCAAAAAAAAAATAAAAGGAAAAAAAATATATAACTATATAAAAATACATATACACAGAAAAAAATATATGCATATATGTATATTTTTTTCTACCAAACCCCGATCAGTTTTTCACTCAATCTGCTCTGTAAGTAGGTAGCTTTTTTTTTTTTCGCTATTATTAACATTCAAGAGAAAAATATATATTGCTTTTCACAAGTGGTACTGATAATTACAGTTTATCACCTTATAAATAAATAAATAAATAAATATAAATACATAAATATATAAATACATATATATATATATATATATATATATATATATATATATTCGTTAATGGTCAGTGCTGTAATATTGATTAAGGAACTCTCGTAGCACATCTTTAACAATGGTTCGGTCACTTATTCGTTGTTGAGATGCGTACACAGTTCCTCCCGTATCATTCTTTTTAATTTTTATCCCTTCTTTTTCTTCTTGTTGCTGAAGTTCTGCATACATTTCACTAGCAATAACAGTTACATCATGAATAAACTGCTGTGCCACTCCATCCCGAGTTTGCAGAAGTGTTAAAGAAAACTGAAGACCAGATGGAAATTGAAGACGGTTAAGTGCCCAACCAAGTTTACCCAATCGATCTCCAAGAGTAAATATATCAATCTTATCACTGTTAAAGGCAAATACAGAAACTGTTGGATCCCCAATAATCTGAATACATGGTAATTTGGAAAGTGCATCTGTAATTTTGATTCGTGTTTCTATTATTTTTTTACAGCTCTTCACATATCCTTCTTCACCCATACGGATCATTGCTGCCCAGGCACCGGCGATTACATTTCCAGGTTTAGAACCACTTACAGCAGGTGAACAATAAATACCACCTGGCCAGTCAGCCACACAACAAAATTGAAAAGATCGTAATTCCATTGTTCGGTATAAAATAGTTGAAGTTCCTTTAGGGGCATATCCATATTTATGTGTATCACAACTAATACTTGTAACTCCTGGAAGACGAAAATCTACTACAGGAACAGGGAATCCAGCTTTTTCCATAAAAGGAACAATAAAACCACCAAGACAACAATCCACATGAAGACCAATATCATGTCGATAGGCTATTTCTGCCAATTCAGGAATAGGATCAATAACACCATGAGGAAATGTAGGAGCTGAACCAACAAGAGCAACAGTATCATATGTGATATATTTTTCCATTTCCTTCGCATCCACCCGTTTTGTTACTGGATCTACTGGTACTTTTATTAATTTAATACCAAAATATTCTGCAGCTTTATCAAATCCAGGATGAGCAGTAATAGGAACAATGACAGAAGGATGTTTAATATCTCGTGTTTTACGTCCCCAATCTCTGTACGATTTGAGTGACATTAATATACTCTCTGTACCTCCAGAAGTCACAGCTCCACAAGCATCCGGGAGAAGATGACCGTTAAACATATGAACTACCATAGATACAACTTCCGCCTCCATTTTACGAGTAGCTCCAAATACGTCTGAATGAAGAGGATTACTCCATTGAAAGATTTCCATAACTCGATTAATCAGTCGTGTGTGCGATGCCCCTCCATGATATACAGTCCCACTAAGACCTCCTCTTTCATAAGGTTGATCCAAATCCTGATGAAACTCTTTTACTAATTGAAGAATTTCATCATCTGTTGATTCCTTTTCTGGTAGTTTTGTAGCTTTAAATTCACCTTTCTTCGATGGCATTTTAAAACTTTTTGATGTTTTCTTCACTTCTCGGTTAATAATTGGTGACGCTATTGCACGTACAACTCGCCATTTTGCCAAATTAAGCCGATTAATGATATTACCATCCTTGAGAATATTAACCAAAACCTTGACAGCCACAAATGCCCCAAGTGAGACGTATACAATCTCAGATGGTCGCTTTTCCTTTAGGGATTGATCAAGGAACTGTGAGAGTGTCATCACAAATTATCTTGAAAGTTAAAATAAATGGAAATAATAGAATTAAAGAAAAGCAAAAGAAAAAAAAAAAGAAACAGAGAATACATAGAGATATACATAGGTAAAGAAAAAAGGTATAAAAGAATGAAACACATGAAAAAAATAATAAAATAAATGCATTTATACTCAATAAGGAAAGAAATCAAAAAAAAAAAAAAAAGATAGAATACAGTTCAAGCTCATCAATTCTTCTGGTCGTTACTCTCGCTGCTGCTGAGTGAGTTTTTTTTTCTTTTTTTCTGCCACTCTTCACGCCCTCTTTCTCTCTCTTGTCATTTCGTTCTTCCTCTTCTGCCCAAATATGACCCTAAAATCAAGCACACACACACATATATATATACAAACGCATACTTACATGGATACACACCAATATATTAAAAGAAAGATACAAAATAGATGAAGCATCACTTCTTCGGTAACCCTAAACGATACCTTAAAGAAAAAAAAAAAGGGTTAGTACAACAAGAGGAAGACTAGTGTGTATGTGTGTGTGTATTTGTTTGTTTGTAATGGACAAAGGACTCTTCAGGGATACGATGGAGAAAACATCATTACCAATGAAGAACACCTGAAAGAAGTATTTAAATCACAGAAAGAAAAAAAAAAATTATATAACGACAAGATTCAAAATCACCAAAAATAACATACAATATATATATATATATATATATATATATATCGAACAATAAGACCACAAATAATTCTTCCTCTATAATCTACAGTCATACAAGGTCCATTTTTTTCCTGGATAAACAGAGAAATACATACTGAGATGAAAATACACACACGTACAGTCAACCATATTAGAAAAGAACTGTTAAGGCTTCACCAGGATAAAATATAAAGCATGCGGCAATACGTGGATGAACGTCACTGAGGACTACACTATGATCATTTCCATTTACAGAAACACGTAATGTTCCCTTCTGTATATCATACGTGAAACATATCACATCACCATTGCGACATACAGGAAGTTGATTAATAAGTGGACTGAGTCGTCCAATACGTCCATCAAACACACCACTTCTTGTTGGCCTCCAGTAAAATCCATCTGGAACACTTCCAGCGTCAGTTTTCTCTACAACTCCCAAAAAAGATTCGGAAATAGATTCCAGACGAACTCTCCAAGTAACAAATCCACCATCCTCAGGGAATAAACAGGCGACATTTTCCATTGTTTCTTTACTTCGTACACCAATTTGAGTCTGTCCACCTCTAGCCACACATCGCAGTAAGACACCATCACTTTTAACTGTAGCTTCCACATCATCATCTACCGGAAATGAAAGTCGAAGAGGTGTATCTGGATGTAATGGATGTTGTGGGATTTGTTGGGGTACACCATTACCACCAACACTGGGACGTCTTCCTTCATTCATGGCTTCACTCGGATGTCGTGTGGATAATCCACCAGAAGGTGGACCGTTAAGTGTTAACGCATATGGAGCATCACTACTTTGACTACCTGAAGGATGTACAGCTTGTAAATCTAACATAATATCAAGACCACTGATGGTTATATCACCAAGGTCAGATATTTTAAATCCACTTCCTACAATAGAAGGAATTTCATTCTTGAGATAATTATACACAAGAGATCGACTTTCAAGTACTTCATGATCTGATCCTCCATGTTGCATGTGTTGAAAACGAAGCATAGCTTCATTTAAGGCATTAAGTTTCATTAAAAATAATTTTCTAGACGATGTAAGAGAAGCATCTCCAGAATCCCGTAAAGTTGCAAGTGTTTTACGTAATTCTACTTCACGTTGCATAAGTTGTTGTCTAAAGTGATTAAATCGTTCGGTAATGATATTTTCAACACTATCATAAGAGTTAAAATATTGTGCCGTTACACGATTAAGTTCACTAGCCTGAGTCTCCATTCGAGCTTTCGTTTGTGTAAATACAACCATATCTCTTGACATTTTTTGTCTAATTTCTGAGGCGGCACGGGCTATACCTATATTTTCATGATTTTTATGTGGTCCAACCTGTAAACAATAGGCACAACATATTTCTTCACACACTGTACAGTAAAATTCTGCTCGGTACTCCTCATGACCACGGACACTACACTTCTTTTGTATTCCTTTCAGCGCATGAGGATCAGCAATTTTACCGGTCATATGTCCACGCTTGGCAGCACTCTTATGAACAGCCGTATTACATTCCACACAATAAACATACATACATTCATTACATTGTATTACCGCAGGAGCTTCTTCACACCATTGACAAATAAGTTTAGCATCTGCTCCTCCTGCCATTAATTCCACTTGACTAGATAATTCTCCATCTGCAAATTTATCCAGATTACGTAGAGTGACGTTTGCATATACCACATTACAAAGAGGACATGCAAAACCTTCACAGTGTTGGGACTCTATTTTGGAACGCACACACGCTGCACAGTAACTGTGTTGACAATCAAACGTTAATGGGTCTTTAAGAACGTTAAAACATAACCCACATGTAATGATGTGTGACTGCTCCTTATTATTCAACCCAAGAGCAGCCGTCATGACTAAAAGACGGGGAGGGTAAAAATAATAATAATAAAAACAAAAAAAATAATAATAAATAAAATATCCACCAACTACTGTAGAGATTAGAGACTAAGAAGAGTAAAGTCAAAAAGAAAAAAAAAAAGAAAAGAGGAAGAAAAAAATTTATCATCCAAAAGTGTTTTTATTTATTTATTTATTTATTTATTTTTTATTTTTATTTTTCCTATGGAGCATTACTGATGTTGAGCGGGGTTTAAGTAAATAACACAGCTATAGAGGCGACACATAGAAAAGAAAGCCACCAAGGTGACAAGAGAAATAATAATAACAATAATAGTAACAATAGTGATAATAATAATAATCATAATAATAAAAATAAAAAACAAAACAGTAAAACGTCGCGCTACATTACTGAGTGCATGATAAAACGTCTATTAAAGAAAAAGTAAAAATGAAAAATACTGCGGGGGATTTTCATCACCTCATCTCAGTTTGTTCCATTTTACTTTGGTTAACTCCTTTTCTTCTCTCACGTCACCACTCTTCTCATAGGCTCATCTTGCAGCTACACTCCACCGCAGTCGCTTGCCTAGCTACAGTATATTCTCTCTCTCTGTCTCTCTCTTATTTTTTTTTTTTTATTCTTTCTCAGAATATCTTGTTATTTTTTTTTTTATTTTTATTTTTTTTTTAATAGCATGCCTCTACAATCTTTTGGGAGAAGTCCTGTTCCCCATCCCCAAGGGTAACACATAAGAAAGAAAACGTCAACTGCCACTCACTGCATCTCCCACACTCCAGTTTTCTGTTATTTTTTTTATTTTTTTTATTTCTCTTGTTTTGTTTTCGTTTCCATTCTCGCTTCTTTCTTTTTTTTTTTTTTCTTTTCTTTTCTCTTGTTTTATTTTTCATTCTCTTTCTTCCTTTCCTCGTTTGTGCACCTGTTTACATTGTCATTCGCTGCAACGACTTCACACGGTGCACGTGTTAAATATCCACGCGACACCGTCCTCAAGACCAGCACCCGATTTGGCGCTGCATCCCTGAATGTGCCACTTGCGATCGCGGAACTCCTGCAGATGGAGTGCCTCCGCTACTGTCTGGGCATCGCGGGCCGTGGCGAGATCTTGTTTGTTCGCAAACACCAACACCGGCACGGCGGGAATGCCGTTGAGGACATCCACAAAGGCCGCATGCGATTCCTCTAATCGGCGGTGGTCGGAGGAGTCCACAACGTACATAATGCAGTCGGTGTTGTTGTAGTAGTCCTGCCAGTACTCCCGCAGTGCCCGCTGGCCGCCGAGATCACACAACTTCGCACGTTTACCGCCACGCACAAGTGTCTTGATGTTAAATCCCTGCGTTGGTCCCTCCGGTGCCGCCGGCGCGGTCTTTCCCTCCACCGGCTCGTCATTCTCACCCAGTGTGTTCAGCAGTGTTGTCTTGCCCGCATTGTCAAGGCCTACTATCAACACACGTGGCTCATTCTCACGCTTCACACGGTTACGCAGACTCTTCAACATTACTTCTCTCGGAGAACAACGTGTACGTGTCTAGTGTGCGAATTCCCTTCTTGTTTTCTGTTTTTCCCTTTTCTCAAAAACGATCAAGTCATGATGACACGTTTACAAAAAACACATCATCAGAGGAATGATTATGAAGGAAAAGAAGAAAAAAAGAAAAAAGAAAAATAAGACAGATAGAAAAAAAAGAAGGAAAACAAAACAAGAAAATAAATGATCTTTCTTTCTCTTTCTCTTTCTCTACACACACACACACACATCACATTCATTAACAAAAGGAAGGAACGTGCACATCAAGAAAAAAAATATTTTCTTCTCCAGTTCTCTGTATTTGCATTATTTCTGTCAGAAAAAAAAGGTTCAAAAGGAGAAACAATACCCTTTCCCACTCAAAAAAAAAAAAAAAAAAAACCAATAAGATAAGAATAAAAGCAAATAATAAAGAAAAAAAAAAGAGTCACAGAAAAAGAATAATGATAACCCAATAAAAAAAAAAAAAAACAATAGACTATACAAGCCTATACACGTGAAAAAAAGTGAGGAAAACAATACATATATACAATATATATATTTCTCACTCGTGTGATGAAATCTTTAAACCATCACTACTTAAGAGGATGGACGACAGGATGCACACACCCCACTACTTAGACAGGATTGCAGCATTTGAATGCTCATCAGGACTTGATCACGTGAACCCACAGTGTCTGCAAGCCACTGAGCGAGTTCCATAGATCGACTGTTCAAATCCGCCACCTCTCGATCAAGTGCTGCCATCTGTCGTGCGTGTTGTGCCTGCAATTCGGTCAGTTCACATTTACTGAGCCCAATCTGCGCTGTGAGTTGTATTACCGTAACGTCACCTCCTTCCGTAGTGGTGGGTGGAGGCTGCGGAATGACTGTTTCTGTGCGCCGCTGCGTCGCCTCCCGCACTTCCCGCTCGAGTTGTTCTCGTTTTGAAAGAAGAGCGGCCGCCTCCTCCGCGAGTTGCCGTGATCGGCGGTGGAGTGGGAGGGCGGCCTCGTCGTCTTCCCACGATCGCTGCAGTTCGTCGAGTTCGCGTGTGTTTGTTTCCCACGCGGCGACGAGTGCCGCCCCCCGCGCTGCGGCCGCGCGTGCCCGCTCGAGCAGCAACACTTCCGTCGCCTCGCCGTGCCGGAGGGCGTCTGCGCCGGTGGTGCGCCGCAGTTGTGCGCTGCGCTGCTGCTCGAGATGATGTTCGAGTGCCCGCTTGAGTTCCGCGACGGCGGCGGTGTTTAATTGCTGCTGCTGCTCGAGCCGCACGCCCTCTTCTGTGGCGAAGGCGAGTCGTGTTTCCGCCTCTTTACGGCGCATCATCGTCACCCGCCGCCGCGTCTCCACACCGCCGAGATGTTCCATCAGAGACGCCACGGAGGACTCCATTGTTAAAGGAATGGGGTTTATGTGTCTGTGTGTTCTTCTATGGTCATCAAATAAAGAAGAGAAAGAAAGAAAGAGAAAAAGAAGGAGGAATAGTGATTCAGAGTCTAAGAGTAATTTTTTTTTTTATCTATCTATATAGAGAGAGATATTATTCAATAACGCCACAATTACATCACAAGATGATCCCTTTCCATGCAATTCTTATCGTTGGTTTTTTTTTTTTCAATTTTCAAAGTTGTTTCCATTTTTTTTTCTTCTTTACATGAAAAGAAAAAAGAGAAAAAAACAGTATTTACATAGCGAATTCCCTTTCATCAATAGAACAGAATATATATATATATATATATTTGCGCCGCAGCAATATACAGCAATGCATCTCTCATTCATTTGTATTTTCCAAACCATCAAATATTTCACCAAATTCATCATCTACAGGCGGATCAAAATCTTCCTGTATTTCTGAATCCAGTGTCTCACACTCGCGATCCATCCAATGAATAAGAAACTTTCCGTGTGTCGCCCTCACAAGGTGTCGTGTCAGAGTAGAAAGTGACTCATCTCCTCCTGTCATCTGAGATTTCCCATGATCATAATAACCATTAGCATTATTATTATTATTATTATTATTATTATTATTATTATTATTATTATTATTATTATTAGTAGTAGTAGTAGTAGTAGTAGTAGTAGTAGTATTACTATTATCTCTCTCATCATCACCCTTTTGGTGATATGACATATCTAATGCCCTACCGCGTGTAGTATTACCAACGAACAAATCAAATGATGCCCATAAGGGTTCATCACATTGTTCGACAATGGCAGCGACGAGATTCTGACAGACACGTCGAACCTCTTGCATATTATTTTCAGGAAATACCAAAGAAGTCATGACATCAAAACAACAACCAAATAAAACACCTCGTACGGTAAGAAACATTAATTGTTGACCCAACATACATTCTTCAACAAATACCTCTTTTAATTGAAATGAAAAAGGAATTTCCTTTGAAAGTAAAACAGATATTATTGGAGTTTCTTGTAATATTTCAGAGAGACATTCTGTTAAAACCTTTTCCGATACTGTTACCTGTGCATACATTTTGGAAGGAAAAAGTGCATCCTCTTCTATATATATATCATAAAATACACCTGTAGAAACACATAAAACTCCACTAGGAGAAATTTCAATTTTTATTGGAGAAGGTTTTAATCCAAGTAAAGAACTATATCCATAAATTCGAATAAGAGGAGCTTCATTCATAGGAGCAGTAATATTCACTACCACAGATCCTTCATCAGATTTCCCACATAATAACATAGTTCCAAGACGAAGATCTGTAAGTGTTGTAATAATTCCAATACCTTTATCAGAAAGAGTAACATTAACATCTCCATAAGTACCTGCGAAATCAATAGTACCACGTCCATAAAAATTAACATCCATTAAATTTAACTGAAGATCTGTTGTAATATAGATAGGAATAGTTTTGGTCCATTCTGAATGTTCTCGTTGTGGTGAAATACCTACAAGATAATCTGTAAGTTTAATAAAATTATCCAGTTGTAGTTCAACTACTTGTAAAGATATGGATTCCCAACTACAATTCAAATTACCTTGTTTAAAACGGCATAAATAACTTCCCGTTGAAGGTGTAGTTAAAATTCCTTCTACTTCAAAAGAAGGTTCAAGAAAAGTTTGTGGAGTTTCTCCAGCTACAAGTTCAAAGGAAGTTTTAATGTTTGTAATAAAAGAACTAGATAGAGTATGTGGTATAGGAATATGCGCACTGGATGAAATTCCTTGTATTGTAATTTTATCCTCCGTACTACTAATGAATCCTGAAAGGCTTAATTGTAGCGAATAATTTCCATTGGGATGTACAAAGGTGGTGTTGTGAGTAACAAAGCTTATTACATGTGATTGTCCCAAAGCCTTCTCTGTTGTATTAGAAGGAGTAATAATAGAATTATTATTATTATTATTATTATTAGTATTATTATTATTATTATCAAATTCATTAAATAATTGAACCTCAAATTCAATACTTCCTATACTTAAACCAGGTATAGGAAACTTTACATTATCTCCTGGTAAGGTAAAACGAACAACAGCAGTAGTACTTTGAATTCTAGGAGCTGTAAAAATAACTTCAGTTTCATATTTTGCAATGAATTCTTTTGAATATAAAAGTTGAAGTCGATCAAAAATAGGACATGGACAATTTGAAAGAGACATATGTTGAATAAAATTTACTCCAGGAAGTAAATTAAATGGATATACAGCAGGAAACGGATCTTTTCCAGGAATACTTAAATTGTATTTAGAGGTAAATGTTATTTGATTCAGTGTAAATGCAAGGACGACTGGTCTTTCCGTAAATCCAGCATGATATAAAAGTGGAAGATCAGGAAAATGTTCAGCTGCTAACCAATTATTTTGACCAATATTCACTACAATAATAACAGAAGCAATATGTGGATCAAGAGGAGTCATACAAGTAGTTCCCAAGAGATCTGTATTCCACTGAAGTTGTAAAGATAAACTCCATAAAACGATTAAAGAAGCTCGAACATTATGAAATCCATAAAAACTTTCTACCAACATTCCACTTTCTTCATATCTAGGATAAAACCATGGAATTGTATCTTTTGATTTGGAATGATCAGGAGCAAAAACCATTGGATGAGATACTAACTCATTAAGATCATCTACATCAGATCCATACCGTTTTGCAGCTCTATAGAGTTTATACATCACATCATGACTAAGATGTCTACCAAGAGATAAATATTTATCAAGTGGTAATTCTTTTTCTTTTATAGCTTCTTTAGCAATTTTAGTAATAAAATTACTAAATTCACCTTTTAAACGAATAATTTGTTGAGCTATAATACCATGTCGTTCAATATCATCTGGTTCACGAAGTCCACTCGCAACACTTTTCGCCTGATCATATCCTTCTTGACACATTCGAACAAATTCATCTTCATGATTAAATGCAGCACTTTGCCAAGTACTATACATGGGATTACTTAACATACATGGTGAGTGAGGCACTAATACAGAAGTTAAACCTTTTTCTATAAACCATGTAACTTGACGTATCTCTATAAATTCTGTTTTTGGAATTCCTTTAAATGTAACTCTCCAATAAGGAGAAGCTACACCCGTTTGCCATGAAAGGGCATTACCATCTTGAGAGAAAAGACATTCTGCAAGAGCTAAATAATCCGTACCATTTCCACTTGTTTCTACTACAATAGTTAAAGGTACAGGTTCACTTTCTTCAATTTTAGTTTCTATCACATTTACTGCAGCACGATTCCCTGCTCCTTTACGTGATGATGTTTTCTTTGGTTGTGTATTACCAGTTGAAGAAATATCTATTGATGGAATGGACGGAGAAGCAGATGTGGTCATCACATTAGGATTAAAAACACTTCGTCCCTTTAAATAGACCTGATGAAAAAGAGGACTTGTACTTCCATCAAAAAACCAAACCACACTGGCTTCTTTTACTTCATCAACAGAACGAAGTACTACTGTTTCTGTTATATTCTCTGTGAGACGTTTAGCAGCTTGTACTTCTACAAAATTATTTACACTAATCTCTATATTGGAATAATTCATACAATCAGATGAAATTAGTGTTTTACCTGTAAAGGCTAACCATTTAACTTGAGCATTATTATCAAGAGGAGGTGAAAGTACTACTGCATATTCTTCTCCATCATCTTCATTTCTATTCTCATTATAAACTCCATCAATAGGGGCAGGAGAGAGACGCCATCTAGAGGAGCCTCCTCGCGGTATCCAACCTTTACGTACACTTCTACTTTGCATAGTGTTAGTGTTCTGCACGGTTGTAATTTCCTCCCAAGTATGACCATCAAGTGAAAGTTTCTCTACTGTATAAACAGAATTAGGAGGAAGAACCGCATGTACGGCGACTATTTCCTTTAATTCACCTGAAATACATAATTCAGCAGAAGAATTAGATATCGAAGGTGATGATGACTCTACTGCATAATATAGAGTTGGTTTTAAAGTATTAAAAGAAATACTTCTAATAATAAGAGTAGATGGTCCAGTATGATTTAAAACACGAAGACGCCAATAACGGAAAGAATTGGTTCCATCCCATTCAGTTTGAGTTGAACCTCCACGTAAAAGTAAAGTAGCATCAAGTGTTCGCCATTCTATAGCATTAGAACTACATTCAACAGCAAATTTAGTAGATGTACTTTGCTTACCATGTCCAACCATACGTACACCAACAATTTGAGCAGCATTAGATTTTGTATCTAATGCAATGGAAGTTCCAACTTGAACTGAAAATACCAAAGGTGTTACTTTACAATTTTCTGAGGTTTTTTCCCATAATACCGAAGGGTCCCATCCTTCACCCAATGGGGTAGTATTTTCAAGAAGAATAGAAGGACCAATGTATCTAAAAAGAGAAAGATTTTCATACAATACATTCGCTTCCCATGTTTGTAATTCTATACGCCAATACTGACGAGGACCACTTGGTTTCCATGAAACTTTAAAATATCGAAAAGAACTACGCCATAAACCACAATTTTCCCATTGTTCTCCATCATCACTACACCAAACACTCCATATAGTATTTACTTGATCTGTTTTACATCGACAAGAAAATCCCATGATTTCTGGAGGATTATTATCACCATAATCTAATGTAATATGTTGAATAGGTGGTTCTGTCATTTTTGTAGAATCCATTAAATTCTCAAATGCCACTGTTGCCTTTTCATCTGTGAAAAGAGTAGAAATAGGTCTATTTAAGGTTCCAGAAAGTGCAACTTTTTGTGGACTCAAACGGCATGAAACTGAAGAAAGTGTAAGAAAAGATATATTCGCATAAAATACAGAATCTTTATATTCCTTATCTTGTTTTTGAGAAGCATCTAATGTAAGTCGCCAAAGTCGATGAGAAACATTATCTACACTTGAAAGTCCCCACATTGTTCGACTACGAGATAAAGATTGTCGATGACGACCAACCGTATACCACTCTGAACCATCATCACTATATTGTATAATCCAATCCTCATCACATGGTTCAGAACTCTGTACAATTAAACCTACTAAAAGGGGTTCTTCTTCTCTAAAATCAATTTGAATAGTGGAATCATATAATCGTTTTCCCCAATTTAAATACCACAAAACAGGACTAAATAAATCAAAATGACGTACCTTTTTTGGTTTCATTATATCAGATATAACACCTGCTTTTACAGTCTGAGCAGCTACACGATCTTCACAAAAAACGTAAAAACGTTTAGGATCATCAGGAAAAGAAGTGACACAAAGAATTGGTTTTCCATCAAATTCAGCATGATAGAGTTGAGGACATTCATTTAAAAACATTGGACCTTCTACAATTTCACCTTTTGTAATACTCCAACGAATAACTTGTGGACTTCGTATTATAAAAACTTCACTTGGATTATCCCATATTTGAACCACATCTTCTACTTCATCTAAATTCCATGGCATTCCTTTAAAAAGAGGAACAGAATTTTCATTCGTTACAGTCTCCTTTACACCAAGTTGAAGATTCCATAATAAGATTTCTTTCCCATGAATAAGAGCCACCGTTTGTGAGTTTTCAAAATTAGGATAAAATACTGCATTAAATCCTTCTGTAAAAGGGTATGGTAAACCTACAAAAGCAGGATGATCTGAAAATGAAACTGCACGCTGAAGTACAACTATACCTTCTTTACAATCCAATTCTACAAAACTATCTCCAGAGAAAAGTAAACACATGGCTCCATCTGGAAGTAAAGGTAAAATACAATGTTTTTTAAACCATCCAGCAGATGATGGAGTTGCAAAAACAGAACCTGGTGAAACACTATTTAATATAGCTTTAGGTTCACATAATATCTGAGGGGCTATTATTTTCACCTTTGAAAAGACATGAGAGGTGAGTGGAATCGTAGGTTCTAAGGAATCACTACCAATAACATGTATAGACTCATACCATAAAAGACGTGCAATACCAGTTCCAATGGGAAGTCGAGTTAAAAAACGTATTCGCCAAAAACGAGTTACATGAGCTTCACCCCAACAAATAGCAGTAACATATGGTGTTGCCGTAAATTGTCGATGTAAAATATATGTAATTCCATCATCACTACTTTCCACTACCGCTTCAATTGGAGCAAGACGAAGTATTCTAGGATCAATAGAAGATGTTTCTAATACAAGAACAAGTACACTAAAAGCAACTGGATGTTTAGATCCATAATCCACTTCTACTACTTGTGGAACATCACTAAGAATACTTTCTTCTGTTTGAATAAAGATAACTTCATCTCGTAAAAGTGGCATAACTCCACTTGCAACTCCACGACGTGTAAGAGATAAGAGAGCATTTAAATCTTCACCTTGTCTAGTAAATGTACCAGTTATAGCATTAACATAACGTTCACTCTGTTCTGTACCATCTACTACGACACAACATCTACTACATTCAGCATTCAAGGCATTCTCACAAACACTATGTAAAGCTGCAGTAGTCATCTGTCGTAATGCTAGTGGAAGTCGGGCAATAGAAGATACAGGAAGTGTATAAAATACATCTGTATCAGTTTTACTATTAGATTTTGCAAAACTGTGTACGATAGCTACATGTCCATCACGACCAATTAACATGATTGTTTTTTTATTACTATCATATGTTACATTTTCCTCATTCGGTTCATCTTCACTTGCATTTTTAAGTAGAGTTGCCATTGGACCATAAGGAAAAAACCTTGATAAGGCAATACTAAAAGATGGAATATCTTCTTCACCAGTTTCTGTTGTATCTCCAATACGTCTTACTTTACCAATAGGTTTTTGTTGAGCATAATCAAAACAAATATATTTGAGTTGTGAAAAGAAAAATGCGCATGATGAATTCGGTATGGCTACTGCCGCATCAATACCTCTAAGAAATTCTTCTGGTAATGATTCAAAAAGTTTATGAAGTCGTAATTTATATGGACCACCTACACAAATTTGACGATAGGTATCCCACTCTATCCATTGTTCTCCACAAAAGAAATGTGCAATTCGAGGATTTACTGGACAATTTAATACACAATTAAAACCTGTTGGAAATGGAAAATTTGATATTACAGAACTTTCCATTATAGGTTGTAAAGGTAATGTAATAGTTTGATTTATCATATTAAAACAACATACATAACTTTTTATAAAGAACATAGCATATTCTGTAATTTCACCTTCCGCATCACATAATCGAATAGAATGCCATGGCTCACCAACAAGTATAGGAGGAATCATATCTCTTCCAAGTGCCATTGAACGTACAGAGAATGATCTTGGCGATCCCATTCTAGGAGTAAGACGAGAAAATGTTCCACTGCTACCAAGACTAATACTAGCACTATTAGTATTACTTGATCCTACTCCTTTAAGTGATTGTTCTCGCATAGATGACCAACGAGATTCTAATCTTGATCGAAATATATCTCTTGTTTCCTTGTTTGCACGTTTTTCTGTCAGTCGTCTGGTTGCTCTTCGTACCAAAGATTTCTTTGCTTGTGTTGGTTGTGGTAACTGTGGAGTTGTCACGACGGTTCTCTTCACGGTGGTTAGTGATATCCACTGCAGTCGTGCGAGACTCCGTTCTTGTTGCGTGTCTGCTGGGGACTCTGCGGCTCTCTGCAGTTGCAGGCAGTGCGGTGGGAGTTGGGCGAGTCTGCTGAGAACCCCACGGATCCACAGAACGGCACGTGGTCCCAACACTTCATTCATGTAAAAGAGAAGAAGTGAACGGGTGGTGGCGGAGCGGCAGAGAAGTTCAATTGTGCGAAGAAGTTCATGCTGCGCGGGAGATAAGGAACGTGTGCAATTGCGGTATGTGAAGAAGAGAGAAGGTGGAAGGTGACGAAGAGCATCACAGATCAATCGTGTGGTTTTTAGTTGATAACGCCTTTTCCACACAAGAGCATCACTGCAGTGATAATGTAATTCCCGTAGTAAAGGAACACGATTCACTAAATCTAATGATGTCTCTGGTAATACCTTTTCAGCGTAAAGTTTTACCTTTTCTCCTTTACTTACTCGATATGCTTCAGCATCAATAAATATATATGCACTTCCAGTAACATATAAGTTAAAAATACCACGAGGTATGTAAAAGAAACCACGATTTCCTACACGTAAACCAAAATTACTCTGACAAATAAGGTAAAATGTATTATCTATATTTGCTTGACCAACAACTTTAAGTGTTGTGGTAAAACCTCGTCTCATAGATGATTCATTTAACACCACTCCTCCTGGAAGTAAAAGCCAATCTAAACAAAATTTCATCACAACTAATACAGAACGTCTTTGCTTTCTAAAAGCCCATAAAACTGCTCGAGTATTATCAAAAAGATTTGAATGAGGTCCATCAATAACATATACACCATGTCTTCGTCTAGAAAAGGCAGCACGTACAATAGAATCCATATTAACATATTCTTTCCATTTTCCCCACATTACATAAGAACTTCGTGGAGGTTTTTCTTTACGTCTATCAAAAGGAGCCATATTTGAAGGAAGACAACCAACAACTTGTGCCGCCTCACAGGCATAATAAAGTTCCATTCCAAGAGCTTCAGAAGAAAGTGAGGCGAGATGACGACCAATAGCAAATATCATATATGGATCAATAGTAACACCATCAATATCAGACATAACACTTGCAACCGTAAGAGCACAACAGGTATCTTCTTCATCTAATTCATCAACATGAGCCACTGAAAAGTTAATAATGGCAAAATCTTCAAGAGGTAATTGTAAAAGTGAAATATCCAAAGAAGAAACAAGTACATCACCTGTAGTAGTTCGAGGTAAAAGGACTCCACCATAACCGTAAATACCAAACCTTACAAGATGTACTACACAATCTACAGAACAGGGATGAACATCTGCATATGAAATCATTAATTTGGTCAATCGGAGAAACGCAGATGGATGTATTAAAGCATCATTTTCAATATCTTTGCATATTTGTTCCATTACCAAAAAAGATCCATTTGAAATACAAACGGCATGAATTCCACATATAGTACATACCTCTAATTCCACATCACGTTCACTTTCTTCATATGTTTCTTCATCATTTTCAATATGGTTAATAACATCACCATCACTATTATTATTATTATTATTATTATTATTATTATTATTATTATTTGTACCATTTGTTATATCTTGCTCTTTAATTTTTTTGTCTTCTTCATGTTGTTGTAGTGGTTGTTTTTGTGCTAAACTTTTTAAGATATCAACTACACATCGTCGTAGGATTGGATTTCTTGGATACGTACTTTTAACACCAGAAAACCATTCAGAAATTACTGCTCTTGCAGAAATAAGAATTTCATCTATAAGGTGTACTCGACACTCAGTAGAACATAAATAAAGAACCCCATCATTAGCTTCACAACATGCTAAAATACAACGAAATAATACTTGAAGTGCAATTTCTCCCGTAGAAGGTTCAAAGTTTTTAAATTCATCTCCTAATGCCAACAATAAACGAAGTTCTACCTTCTGATCCGGTGAATGAATAACCGTATTACTACATACCAAACATTTTGAAGCTAATATTGTTATATTAGCATTAGCAAAACATTGTTTTTGAATGTAGACATATTTCGGTGTATTTTCATCTAATAATATTTGTGTAATTCTTGAATTTTGTACGGCTAGAGTGAGTAGCTTACGTGCACTAGCTACACTTAACGTAATACCACGTAGGTCTAGTTTACAAAGTGCCTCATGTGATGCGAACGTTTTTTGAATTAAAGCTACATCATCTGCTGTTAACTCACAGCTGCGCATAGAAAGCTCCACCACTGGAACTTTTTGAAGCGTAGAAAGAATAGGGATAATTCCCTTTTCACCCAAATAACCATTATCAAAATTAAACACAGTAGCTCCTGCGAGTAACTGTTTTGAAAAGGTATTATTGGGATTCACATTGAGAGCACGACATTCTTCCCGGTAAAACTCCTCAGCTGCAGCGCCCTTTACATATTTATCTTTCGTGGTGTAAAAATCTACATAAGATGTAGTTTTACTAGTCCCTGATGATGTTTCTACGGCGTCAGCGGAATGAGTCACTACAGAGGCCATTAATAGAGAATGGCCTCTTTCCTTTTCTTTTTTTCTTTTCCTTGTTTATTTTCTTTTTCCTTTTATTTATATGTGAGAGAGTATGAAGTACTTTGCAGATGTGCCGCTCGTCCTTGAAGGGGTAGAAAAGAGAATTGGTTTCCAAAATAATAAAGTGAGAAATAGATATTTAGAAATTTTACATTAAAGACATGTGTACACAAAATTCAAAAGGAAACAAACAAACAAACATCTACATAATGTCAAAAAAAAAAGTAATGAAACAATACTGAAAAATCGAAAAGAAAAAATAAGCAACGACAACAGAGAAAAAAAAAAAAAAAACGAGTTTTGATTTATTGTTAATTGCAGGCACGATACAAATGTATCGGAATAACTTTACTAACTACCTGACGACCCTCCAGGAAAACTTTAATGTTCACATCAAATACAACTCGTACGTTAGATGTTTTTATAGAAGGACATGTATACCATCGTGGAAAGAACATATAAATAGGAATATCAAGATTACGTGATACATCTCCATCTGCTACTTGAATACTTTGAACTTCTGTAGCTTTATGTGCAATCTTCTCTGATGTAGCCGCATGTTCTACCCGCAGTAACTGTAGTTCAATAGAAAGAATTCTAACATTACATCGTCGCACTACAATCCATCCAGAAAGTGGAATGTCAATATCGTTGTAATATCGTTCAAAAAATCCCTCAAGAAGGAAATTTAGATGACACTTTTGACTAATAAGATGATGATGTTTTTTCTCTATTGATTCTTCATTTAACTCAAAATATGTACCTTTATCTTCTTTCAGTAGGTCAGGAGAAGGAATACCTTGACCTGGAACAATAACTAATAATTGAAGTGGATCACTTGTTGATTTTCCTATAATACCACGAGCCGTAGCTATGAGAGTGTAGGAACACGAGATACAAACACCATTATACGTCTCAATAAGAGGAATATTAGGATTGGATGCTTTAATCTCAAATAAAAAAGGTAATTCTGTTTTCCCAGCAGGTAAAATATGTCCTTTAGAATGAAGTGAAATACGTAGATTCATTAAAACCATGGGTTTTAGATTCAACGTTTCACTAAATCCTACCATGTCACTACAACCATCTATAGTAGACGCAATCGTTAATGTACCCAACACAGTCAAGTCAATACTGAGAAAGGTAGAAGCCATCGCATAGTTTACAACAACACATCCGGTGACTTTCTCACCTGCAGTGTACGTAGCCCCAACGCGGTCCAATTGAACACTAAGAGGCGCCTCTCGCCGAAGTTCTGCTGTCATGATGTTACGCTCTCTTTACCCTTGGCCCCACCCAAGAAA